TCTATATTTTGTCTATCTCTAAGTCTCATTTTTAATTGCTCATGAGTCTGATCTGCTGATTGATCAAGTTCATCCATATTTTGTTTTCTTTCAACATTATTCTCATCATTAATGTTATTTTCTTCACTTTCATCCACCATTTCTGAATTTATTTCTTCATCTTCTTTTCTAATTTTGATTTCTATTTCCATAGATTCTTTGAATATAACATCTCTGCTTAATGAAACTTCTTTTCCATCAAAGCATATGCGGTATCCTTTAGTTTCTTCTGAATACCCAACAAATATTCCTTTTCTCCATTTTTGATCCCATTTTCTACGTTTTTCTTTTGGTATATGAACATAAACTTCACTACCAAATACTTAAAAATTGCTTATATTGGGACTTTTATTACACCATAATTCATAGGGCGTTTTTTCTTTGTTACCTGAATTTAACGTACGATTCAATACATATACAGCTGTATTTATCGCTTCAGCCCAAAGATTTTTTGACAAATTTTCACTGTATTACATAGTTCTAGCTGCTTCTACTATTGTACGCATTGTTCTTTCCGCTTTACCATTTTGCTGTGGTGTATATGGTACACTGGTCTCATGTTTTATACCAAATTTATTCAAAATAGCTTTGACTTCATCATTCTTATATTCCAAACCACAATCACTTCGTAAAGTAAGAACTGATATATTTAACTGATTTTTCACTGTATTTAAGAATAATTCAAACTTCTCTTTTACTTCTGATTTTTGTTTCATAAAATATACATATGTATATAATTAAAGAAATAAGAGTTAATGTTGCTTTTGGAATAATCCACCAATTTCCTAGTTTAAAAAAAAAAAAAAAAAATTTGGTTGGGAATTTTTTCTGCTATTCGCCAAAATTACTCCTTCGTTGACTAAAATGAATCATTAAATAGAAAATTTTATGACAATTAAAACAATGTTATTTTTAAGATTAATATGCAGTCAGAAAATTTTATAATTACTATTTACAGTATTTTTATCAGAAAAACTCATTTTTTTGCATTTTTATCGTAATAGAACACTTAAATAGAAATCATAATATCATTTCTAAGTAATTTTTGGTATTTAAAAAGATTCTACAATTGAAATATCCAGAACTGAATTAATTTTAATGATTTACTTTAACTAAAAAAAAAAAGTTATTATTTCCCGAGTAGCATTATTTTGGTTCACGGTCGGTTCAAGCGACCCACGAGTGCTAGGAGAGTTCAATGTTCAATAATGAACCGTGTAATTTTTTATAAGTTCTAAGAAAGTTCAGCGTTCAATAAATAACCGAACAATTTTTAGTAAGTGCTGAGACCGTTCAATGTTTAAAATAATCGTACGGATTTACCAAAATTCTTTCATTATAATGAAAGAATCGTTATAACGGTTATAGCCGTTCAAATAGTTTTATTCACTTATACTGTTATGAGACATATTATTTTTTGATTAGTAAATTAATAAAAAAACTTTAAAATAATAGTCATAAAATATTTTCATTGAGACTATAGCGCGAATTAAACGTACGAACTTTTGGCAGAATTATTATTCACTGTTCACCCTCACACTTATATTTAACTGAAAAGTTCAATAAAATGTAAGTACATTTAATATAAATTTTACAGTAAAGTTAAAAACAGGTATTTTAATTAATTTTAATAATAGCATATATTATTTTTTGGAAAGATAATCATACATTTTAGTGGTCAGGTGATAATTTAATAATTATAATAAATAACACTCCGTATTTATCTTTTACGTTGTAATATATTTTAATTTAATATATACATAAGAATTTTAATAACAATAATAATTCCAAAAGGAAGTAGACAATAGTCCAACCACGATAATATGTGAAGTATGGTGGCCGGCGGCCTGGACCGGTTCGCGTCACCCGCGGTCACTCGGCGTCGCGCGACCTGTCGGACGAGGAGAGGTAGCTGTGTCGCAGTCGCCATCCAGCGGTAAAGCCGGAAGTGCAATGCGACCGCGTCATCATTTTAGTAAGATGCTACAACCCGTTTATTAGGAACTACATTTATTGTAATTTTTAACAGATTACACGTGGTAAATTATTTACTAAATGTTTGTATTGTGTATTATGATTAATTATAATTATAATACAAAGTTATTTATTTTTATAAAGTACTATTGTTAGTTAATTATGTTGTTTTGAAAATAAACGATCATACAGACATCTCAAGAATTTCCATGAGCTTAAAATATTGACAATTTTTAATCGTACATCATTGTCGTCATCATCATCTCCTTAGCCTTTATCCCAACTCTTTGGAGTCGGCTCTAGCTTATTTTAATTAGTTTTATTTATTGATTTTTATTCATACACGAGATACAAATTACTTCTGTATTTCAATATTAAAATGATGCTTTTTATGTCTCAACATTTTATACATTGAAATACCATCTCTTAAGAAACTGTTGATTTTTAAATGAAAATCCCTCTATTGTGCTACTCAATAATTTAAATCACCCCACATTTTAAGTTAAAAAGGACTGCATCTATTTGAATGAGAATTATATTTCAATATTTAAAATTTTAAATGAATAAAAAGTATAAGTTTAAGGTTTTTCATCGTTCAACAATTAACAGGGTTTTATATTAAACAAGATTATCACTCGATTCATTTGTGTATATATTTGTAACCTTTATACTATTAAATTAACAAAATTTTTATACAAATCGACCAATAAAGGGCACATTTAAATCTATGAGGGACAGACTTACATGTAACCTAAGTAATTTTAAGATATAAATAAAACTATTGGCACCAGTTTCCCTTATACAAAAAACAAATCTATATACTTAGTTTGTCTAAAATACCCAATATCCAAAACATAATTATTTTATAAGTTAAATAATAATAAAAATAAAATACTTCTTATAAAATATCATGCTTTCTTTAATTTCCAATATTTTAAAATATGTCTATATAAAAAAATTTTACAAAGCATAGCCATGTACTCAGGGCCGTATTTAGGGGGTGGCACGGGTAGGCATATGCCCGGGGGCGGCAAAATATTTTAGCAAAATTAATTCTAAAAATGTAATGAAAAAAAAAACCCAGCACAGGGGGGTCGCGGCACAGTGGTGACGTGACATAGATGGATCAAGTATAATGATATCTGACAGTGATTAAAATCACTATCATAAAAAACGTTTCGATGCAAATCATTAGATAGTGTTTAATTTCAAAAAATTGGTGGATTATTCCAAAAGCTTCATAAACTTCTAGTTCCTTATTAATATCCTGATTAAGATAAAGTATGTCGAATGAAAAAGGGATTATTAAAAAATAGTATTTCCCATAAAAAAATTATATTGATCAATACACTTTTCAATAAGTTATAGCATTATAAAGTTAAAAATGTAAAAAATAAAATTGAGAATTTTCACACAATAATAGCATTTGGTAGCCATTTTCACAAATATAATTTGTTTATGGGAAATACTATTTTTTAATAATCCCTTTTTCTTTCGACATACTTTATCTTAATCAGGATATTAATAAGGAACTAGCAGTTTATGAAGCTTTTGGAATAATCCAACAAATTTTTTGAAATTAAACACTATCTAATGATTTGCATCGAAACGTTTTTTATGATAGTGATTTTAATCACTGTCAGATATCATTATACTTGATCCAACTATGCCACGTCACCACTGTGCCGCGACCCCCCTGTGCTGGGTTTTTTTNCCACTGTGCCGCGACCTCCCTGTGCTGGGTTTTTATTATTGAGGTGATGAGGAGGGGGTATAAATTATATGCCCGAGGGCGCCAAATTGTTTAATACGGGTCTGCATGTACTTGATCAAACATTTGAATACTGTAACACTAAAAGAATAATTTCTATATAGTTTTTTAAATTAACTTTTTGTGTTGGCACTGAGTAGTTAATTGATTTTTAACTCAATAAACATTTTTGAACATTGAGTTCAGAGTTTAACCGGAAGTACAATAACTAATAATCATTTATCATTCACAGAAAAATATTTGAACTCCCTATATTTTTTTTTTAGAAATCTGAATGAAATACTCTTTTCTATTAAAATAGTTTTATTTAAAATAATAAAGAAATATAAATATAGTATATTTACTATTATATAATATTAAATTATAAAAATGTTTATACTCAATACATAGTTGTTAATTATTTTTTATAATTTATTTTTTTTAATATGTATATTATTTTAAATAAAATTATTTTATGGAAACATGTTTTATTCAACTTAAAAGATCATTCTATTGAAGTATTCATATCTTCATCTTTTATTTTTATTATTTAGGATATAGATACTAGAGCCTATATTAATCCTGGTGAGATACCAACTAGTTGAATAATGTTTAAACTATAATTGTAACATTATATATTAAATGAAATATGGTTACAATTCACTTATAGAAAGAAAAAACTTAAGTATAGAGCTTAAGATGGCAGTTAACCCAGATATAATTATTTTATTATATTTATTTTTTAATGAAGCGACTTCTACTTTTTTTTGTCTTGCACATAAAAGTTTTTAATTAAATATTAAAGTCTTGCGCTGTTTTATACTAACGATTCTCAAAGTTCAATTAAAATCTCTTAATATTCTTAATTGGTACAATGTTTACTTATTTCCCTTAAATTATATGTATATATTTAATTAATTATTTGTATTAAACTTAGTTTTGTAATGAAATAAAATATTATTAAGTATAAATGAAATAAATTAATTACTTTTAACTAAGGCTCATCAGGCACATAAAAATAGTTGACCAAACATACCTACATTGTATATCTTCGGGAATTTTAATTTGAGGTAAAAAAAAAAAAACATTAAAATAAACATTTGATATGCAATAAAAAAAATATATAACTATGTCTTTTAGTTGTAATACTAATTTTAATATCTATTATTTGGCTAATGAATAAACAGCTTAATTTCCTTCAAAAATGTCACTTATAATATTGTTTTGTTAGACAACAATGGAAATTATAACTGGAAAAAAATCAAAATTAGCAATGAGTAAATCTTCTCGTTATCGTTTAAAGAAAAAAGCTACAAATGTAGCTGAAAAACTTCTCAATATAAATTCAAAGGATATAAATCATGAAATCCTCCAATCAACTTCTCATCAAGTAATTTCCAATATGGACTACTGCGCTTCCGTTTCCTATATAAATATTTCAAAAGACCAACAATCTGAAAATGACATACTTCATGATTTACTTAATTCACCTGATCGGAATGAATATCTAAATGCAAACTTTTATAGTGATTACAGTGATGATGAACATATTAATCCACATTCATCATTTACTGAAACTCCAGATATCAAATTAATTTTGGCTCTTTGGTCAATTCGTAATAATATCACTCATGCTGCATTAAACGATTTATTAAAATGTTTGAAATGTTTCCCTCCATTTTCTGATCTACCAATAGATTCAAGGACCATATTAAAAACTCCAAAAACCACCGTTGTTAAGCCTATAAGTGATGGCATTTATCATTATTTTGGAATAACACAAGAGGTAAAATGTATACTATATTCAAATAAAAATTTATTTAAAGAGTTTTTATTAGTAGTAGGTATAGATGGATTACCTTTAATGTCAAATCCTCCAAGCCAATTGTGGCCAATTTTTGGTTACTTTTCAAATATTGATTTTTTAAAAAAATCTGTATTTATTATTGGTGCTTATTATGGTACAAATAAACCCAAAGATTGTAATGAGTATTTACTAGACTTTGTTGAGGAATTGAAACATCTATATAATGAAGGAATTATTTTTAACAATGAGAAATATACAGTTAAACTTGATGCTCTTATTGCTGATTCACCAGCAAAATCATTTGTTCTTAATTGTAAAGGACACACTGGTAAAAATTCCTGTGTTAAATGTTTAGTTGAAGGTGTGTGGTTGAATCATAGAATTCACTTTTCAGATTTGGATGCTGAACTGCGTAGCCATGAACATTTTTCTGCTTGTTTATATGAAGATTTTCACCAAGGTCACACAATCCTCACAGAAGTTTCCTATTTTGATATGATATCTTCAGTACCCTATGACTACATGCATGTAATATTAATTGGTGTAGTAAAGAAATTACTTTTATTTTGGACAACAGCTCATCATTATCACTGTCTTTCTTCGCATACTATAAAATCACTGGACGAAAATTTAATATTCCTTTCTCAGTACATTCCTGATGATTTTCAGAGAAACCCTAACTCAAGAAATCATCCATTAAAAGATGTTAATCGTTGGAAAGCTACAGAGCTACGACAATGTATTTTGTATACTGGTTTAGTGTTATTTCAAAATAAAGTTCAAAGTGATATTTATACTCATTTTTTAGGATTATCTGTAGCCCTACGAATATTGCTAACAGAAAATATAGAAAAACAGTATTATGATTATGCTAAAAGTTTATTGAGAAACTTTGTTACTGCATTTGGTGATTTGTATGGATTGTGTTATGTTTCGCACAACATACACGCATTGATTCACATTACAAGTGATGCTGAAAAGTATGGTTCCCTTGAAAAAATATCTGCTTTTCCATTTGAAAATTTTATGCAACCTATAAAAAAGAAGGTAAGGTCAGGAGTTAAGCCATTGCAGCAAATTATTCGGCGATATAAGGAACACCGAGCTTACTCCATTAGTTTTTCAAATTCAAAGAAAGAACCATATGGTCCAATCTGGGTAAAATGTGACAATAAAAATCGACCATTGGTGTCTGGTGTAGGAGATTCACAATACAGTGGGTGGAGAACACCTAAATTTACAATAAAACTCAATAAGGCAAATTGTTGTGTTAAACTAAAGAATAATTTAATTATGGTTATTGATAACATTGCAACTTGTTTAACAAGCAAAAAAACAATAATAATTGGTAGATGTTTTGAAAAAATTGAAAATTATTTTATTCACCCATGTAACTCAAGTTTATTAGGAATTTACAAAGTTTCAAAAAAAGGTCCTTTACACAGTTTTTCTATTGACATAATTCAAGAAAAATTAGTTTGTTTACCTTTAGACCTGACACATGAATCAATGGTAGTAATACCATTTGTGCATTCTGTATGACAATTAACAAGGTTAGATTTAATTATAGTGGCTATTTATAAAACAAATATACAGTAGTTGCATTAAAACTCAACAAGTTATAAATATATAGTAAAATATTTTTGAAACTATGAAATGAATTAATTTTTTGTACTTGTTTTAGGACTTGGATTGTAGTACTTTTCAACGAAAAGAATTGCATTCAAAATGTTCCACTGAGTTGGTTCATTGCCAAAAACGGATCACAGGCTGGGAGATGTTGGTATCCTTACAGCAAAAATGAGTTTCCGAGCTCTAAAATTCATTTTAATAATGATCAAATTACTAAAATGATATCAAAAAAATACAATCCAAACAATAGTGATGGGACCTGGTTTATTTCAGAAAAGATTGCTGGCCCATTTGGTAATTCTTTTACACATTTTGATGTATTAGTTAAATTAGATCCATATGAAAAGTATCCCCTGTAATTTAATTTTACAATAAATTTCACTGATTATTTTTTGCAATTTTCAAATGTTTGAAATATAGTTAAGAGTATAAATTACCATCAGTTGTACCATAAACTTAAATCTTTAAATCTTAAAAAACAGGTATTACGCACTTCAAAGTTTTTTTGATTGATCTGTTAATTTAAAAATACAAACAAACTATTAATTATGGTGTTTAACACTTAATTTAAATCTTAATTTTTAAGTAAGATTATTTTCCTTAAATTTTTTCATTTTAATGAAGACAAAGAAATTGATTCAAGAAAAGTTGCTAAAGAATGGTCGGGTACTTCAAATGATTGTGAAAATGAAAGTAACTGTCCAATTAATGATACTGATTATGCAGAGAGTGATGATAGTAATTCATCTATTATTACAAATGTTAGAAACCGAAAAAAATCAAAAAGATACTCCTCAAAATCTTTTATCACTCAAAAACAAACATTGCAATTTCCATGTCCCCCTAAAAAAAAATTAAAGGGTAATATAGAATCTCAAAACAAAAAAAGAAAAATATGTTTACAAGCAGGTAATTATTATAATTAAGTTATCTATTATGTCTGTAATTTAAAAACATATATACTTAATTTTTATAAATGATATATGTATCACTGAAACATAATTTTTTGTTTTTATTATAAAGTACTTATATTCCATTATATTCCTACATAAAAAGGTTGCTATAAATTAAAATTTATTTAAGGAGTGTAGCAATGATAAATGTTTTCATAGAAAATTGAAATAAGAATATACCCTCTTATATAATAATAACCTCTTATTTAAATAACTAATACATTTCATGTGTGAAATTTCTTAGTATCTAAAATAACAATTTGTATAATATATAAATGCTAGTTTATATGGAAGTTAACTGTGTATATTATTTGTCTTAATTTTTTATTACTATCATTAATCTATTAGATCATTCATCAGAGCTCATCACTGGTGATACTACCAATGACTATTCTATAGCTGTAGAATCATCACAGATGGCTGCAGAATCAGAAGACATGAAGCTACTAGAAGTTTTAAACAATAGTGATGACTTGAGCATGTCAGAGTTCAAAGGTATTATAAAATAAATAATTTTAAATACCTCTCTACCTAATTAACAAATAAATGGTTATTGATAAATAATTATTGAATTTAGATGAAAATTTTTGTACAGATTCTATTGAAGATACTCATTCTAACATAAATCAACCGATAATTATTGCAATTCCTTCTCAAAATGTAAGCTTAAGAATAGATTTACAAAAAATCACTTAATATGTTTGATTATTTTATATTTATTAAGNAGTCTAAGAAAAAGTCTAATTGCACATTTGAAAACATCGCGAAAAATTTATTTAGAAAAGTATATTTTTGTTTTTGTTGAAAGTTCCATGTAGTCCAGTTACAAGATTTATAAGTTTGCTCTTAGATTATACCGAATGGAAAACAAGGTAAATTCTCAATTTAGAATCAAATAAAAAATGTATTGTGTCTAATTCAAAATAATATTAATTAAAATTTTTTACTCTATGGCAACAATTTAAGTACTTTTGCATGTATACAGCAATCGTAACAATTTTGGTCTAGTTGTCTAAAATTAAGTACAGAAAAAAATGAAATTACAGATACATTTGTATCTATTAACTTAAAATTTATAAATAATATTTATTTTTTTATAATACTGTTGATATTATTAAACAACACACTGGGTACAGTAATATTATTTAAGATAACAGTTTAATGTATTTTTACTTATGTTAGTATAGTACAAGGTCAAAGGGACACATTCCTTTTACGATTATGTTGTTTTACTCAATGCAGCCTATTGTATACATGTTTACAGTTTAGTCGTAGTTTCACCGTCTATCGAGTAAAGTGACCCGTTGCCGTTGTACATCTCTTATATTATATGTTTTAACATTTTATATTAAATACTATTATATTACGAATAATTTCTAAATCTTTTAATTACATAACCTATTCCATTCAACAAATACAAATAATGATAAATTATTTTTAGACTGGATTTATTAAAGCATTTTCAATTTCATCTCAGTCATTTACTTATGGTTTTACTCGTATTGAACGTATAATGAAAACATTATTTGTTAATAAATTATACCTTTGGCCCAGATTTCATCTTGCTGTTAAGTCTAGTTTAGATAAAGTAAAGGTAAGTTGTATGCAAGTTTACCAAAATATACAATGTTATATAATATGATGTATGAGATACTAAAAATACAAGGGATATAAATAATTTTTTTTTAAATAATTACTTAGATATTTGGTAAAACTAATAATTATTAGTTTTATTTATTATTTAAAATCAAAAAACATATTTTTAAACACTACTTTAATAAAAAAAGATCAAATTGAGCTATAAAATTTACTTAAGATTTAAAAAAACTCAAATTATTACCTTTTGTTACTTCCTTTTATACTAAGTATTATTATCTTATAAACATTTTTTAGCTTCAATTCAAAGCTGACTAGAAGGTATTAATTTTACTATGATATGTTTTTTTTGTCTACGAACGCTCATTCTCAGATCTCACACGACCTATTTTAATGAACAATACGTCAAAAGATCACAAATCGTATCTAGTCTAAAACATTACCCTCAAAAATTGAAAAAAATTCCCTCGATCCCCGTAAACGGGGGAAATCTCCCAAAAAATTACAAATTTAAAAATCGGTAATTTTCGACATTTTTAAAATTTTTTTACTTAAAACTGCCATAATTTTTTAAAAAATGACTGAATCAATATAATTTTTTTTTTATGGTTATCTTAGGTATTTACCTATCATTTGATATATTTTTGTAAACATTTGACCCTTTACTAGTCCACAGGAAGGGTTTCAAAATGGCAACTTTTTCACGACAATTTTTTTATTAATTGCAATAAATTAATTTGTTTTATTATAAACTTTCACAAAAATCAACTATAAAAGATTAAAAAAATAGGTTAAATATGTTATTTTCCTTATTTTTAACATAATAATCAAAATCAGTATTAATTTAAAACAATTTTTTTTTGTTCTTAATTATTTTTTTATATGTAATTACTTATTTTTTAATAATAAGTAATAATATTAAAACTTAAAAGTGATAGAAAAAGTTTAATTGTACATTCGAAAACATCTCGAAAAGTTGATATAGAAAAGTATATTTTTGTTTCTGATGAAAGTTCCTTATTGTCCAATGTATAAAACTTATAACTTTGTTATAAGTAACAAACATTTTTTATTGAAAAGTATTGTATTAAGCCCTTTAAATTTTTATACGCGTTAAAAGTAAAGAAAAATACAATTACTTTATTATTTTTATAATATCTCCGTATAAATTAAAATATTAAATTATTGAATATCAATTTAATACTAAATTTAATTATTAATATTATTCACCAATATCTTAAAATTAAATACTATCTATAGATTTGCATTGAAGTGTTTCTTATGATAGTGATTTTAATCACTGTCAGATATCATCTATACTTGCCAACTATGCCACGTCAATACTGTGCCGCAACCTCACTGTGCTACCGTTTTTATCATAAGTCACTCAATTACATACAGAATAAATATAATTTAAACATTTCCTATTTTGGTTACATTTAGTTGTTTTTTCTGTTTTATAATATTAAAATTATTAACTAACTATTTAGAATTTGATAGCATAGTCAGAATTTATGATCTAATCGTAGTAGTTTAAATATTGTAATCGAAAATCAGATTATAAGATTGTTGATAAAAATTATCTGTATTTTTTACATTACATTTTTAACTATCCGTAGATTAACTGAATTTAGTTTTTTGTGGGATTGATAAAATAAAAAATTTTACAAATTATTTTTATTTATCCTATGAAAATAATACAAAATATTCAATAGCAAAATAATCGTTCGGAGATGAGATTGGAGTTACAATTGTCCTACTTGCTCTCTTGTAATCATGCTACTGAGTGAAATTTAAATAAAACTTTTGGAGGGCCTTATTTTACCTAATTAGTTCTTGTTTAAAAAAACTTTAACTATTAAAACTTAATAATTATACCTATATAATTTTAAATTATAAAAAAACTATATTTGTTTATGTTTTACAGTAATTTTATAGGGATTTTATAAAGAAAAATACAATTACTTTATTATTTTTATAATATCTCCGTATAAATTAAAATATTAAATTATTGAATATCAATTTAATACTAAATTTAATTATTAATATTATTCACCAATATCTTAAAATTAAATACTATCTATAGATTTGCATTGAAGTGTTTCTTATGATAGTGATATTAATCACTGTCAGATATCATCTATACTTGCCAACTATGCCACGTCAATACTGTGCCGCAACCTCACTGTGCTACCGTTTTTATCATAAGTCACTCAATTACATACAGAATAAATATAATTTAAACATTTCCTATTTTGGTTACATTTAGTTGTTTTTTCTGTTTTATAATATTAAAATTATTAACTAACTATTTAGAATTTGATAGCATAGTCAGAATTTATGATCTAATCGTAGTAGTTTAAATATTGTAATCGAAAATCAGATTATAAGATTGTTGATAAAAATTATCTGTATTTTTTACATTACATTTTTAACTATCCGTAGATTAACTGAATTTAGTTTTTTGTGGGATTGATAAAATAAAAAATTTTACAAATTATTTTTATTTATCCTATGAAAATAATACAAAATATTCAATAGCAAAATAATCGTTCGGAGATGAGATTGGAGTTACAATTGTCCTACTTGCTCTCTTGTAATCATGCTACTGAGTGAAATTTAAATAAAACTTTTGGAGGGCCTTATTTTACCTAATTAGTTCTTGTTTAAAAAAACTTTAACTATTAAAACTTAATAATTATACCTATATAATTTTAAATTATAAAAAAACTATATTTGTTTATGTTTTACAGTAATTTTATAGGGATTTTATAAAGAAAAATACAATTACTTTATTATTTTTATAATATCTCCGTATAAATTAAAATATTAAATTATTGAATATCAATTTAATTACTATAATTATTATTTATTCATATATTATAATTAAAAATCAAATAAGTAATCGCGATAAAATGAAGGGAATAAGAGTTATTGTTGCTTTTGAAATAATCTACCAATGCTACTAATTATCTACAGATTTCCATCGATGCGTTTTTTATGATAGTGATTTTAATCACTGTCAGATATCATCTATACTTGTCCCAACTATGCCACGTCCATACTGGGCCGACACCACACTGTGCTACTGTTTTTTTAACTGTGTGATCTATTTTTAATAAAATTACTAAAATTTTTAGCCAGAAGTTATTGAGCTACATGTAGAGTTAACTCCTAAAATGATTGATATTCAAACATCTCTTCTTGATCTTATTAATTTTTCAATTAAAGAATTGAAAAGGTTCAATCCTTTTCTTAATAATTATACGTATATAATTTTAAATTATAAAAAACTATATTTGTTTATGTTTTACAGTAATTTTGTAGGGATTAAGCGCCTCCTAGTTACGTTCTCCAATTTGGGCCTATAACATTAGGTAAAATAAAAATAGTTATCATCACAGTGCAAACAAATTTAATGTGAATTAAATAATAAATTACGATATATTTTTTAAAATGTACTACTCATTTATTCTGAAAAATTATTCTCTATTTAATTATTGAAAAACACATTATTAGGTAAAATTGTTAATAATATATGATTATTTGGATTTTGTATGTTTAAACTTTTTCCTGGCACGAAATGTTTTCAAATTGTTAGATTTGGAATTTGAGAGTTCATTAGATGGTTTTAGATTAGCATGCAATGTATTGAACAATATTTCACCATCTGTTGAATTACCACATAAAGTCTTTAAATTTTCAACTGACATACTTAACATGTATGGTAATGATACTCCTTTGTTTAAAATATTACAAATATTTTGTGTAGTGATTCCAGGTAATTTACTCATGAAATCCTGTAAAAATACAAAAAGTGAATATATATATAAGTGTATAATAATTTAATGCTGTACTCGATAGATAAAACTTTCTTAATAATATTAAAATTAAAAAAAAATCTAATAAATTATACTTGAAAACTTTTTTAGAATTTCGTAATTATAAATGGTCTATTAAATAAAACAGTCACTTGATTTTTAATAAAAATTACCATTGATAATACAGGTAAAATAATTAAACAGTTATAGTTTAGTTATCAAATAAATTGTGGATAAATAATGTGATCGTAAGAACAAAATATAAGCAACAAAACAGGAAAAAATTGACACAACAGGTATTCTTAAAAAATAATAGTTAAATTAAAGTATCACAAAATTTACAATTTTTAATAAGGTCTATCTAAAATTTTTTTTTTGATTATTTTTTAAAATTTACTTTAATCACAGCATTATATTTTTCTTCATCAAAATTTTGACCAGCTTCTAATCCAATTACAGCAGCTTTTAATGAAACTGGTTGAGCTTTGCCTTCCTAGAGTAAAATATTAAAAAAAAAAAAAAACTTAACTATAAATATATATGATAAAAATGATTTACTTTAAGTTCTTGAAATAGTTCAGCTGTAGCATAAGGACTAGGAGACCATACAAAACGAAGTTTAGGGAAATGCAAAGTTAATAGCTGTAATTTTGAAGTTATATCATTTCGATGGCTTGTAGTCATATCTTTACTTAAAAAGTAGTTTCCCTGAAAAATACATAGAAAAGTTAAATTAAGTTTTATTGAATTGATTGTAACCAATTTTTAGTTAATTTTTTTCTAGTATTATATTATTAATATTTTTTAGTTGTTTGTAATAATTTTAATTTTAAAAAATGTAAAGTAAAAATTAATAATTAAAAAAAATAACTTTAAACATAAAATTTAATGTTTATATTATCTAAGTACCTGTAAATCAAATGGTTTATTTTGATCAAACTCAATAAGTAGTATTGGCTTAGTATAATGGCGACACATCATTAGAGCTTGGTGATAAAGCCTACCAGATTTTAATGATCCAATCAAATCATCAATACTTTTTCTTTCTACACACATATCTGGAGATAAAATATAGTCTCCAACCTAATAAGATGATTATAGAAGTTATAACTGTTAATAACTATATTTATTTTCTATAAGATTACTTGTAATGTGACTGGATCAATATCAATGCCTCGTCTATGAAGTAAAACCGGTAAATCTGATCTAAATTCCCGCATATCAACAATAACTAAAGGTGTCACATTCTGCTCATTATTTTCTCTAGGCTTAAAAGATTTATCTTCATTTTCCAAAAGGTCAGAAGGATGAACACCTAAATCTCGATTTAGTTCAAGACAGTCTTCATCTTTGCCATCTTGACCTTTATGTACAACCATAACCTGGAAAAAAATGTATATTAAATAAAATTATTTAGTTATAACACATTCAATTTTCACAATCAAAAAAACAAAAATATTATTGATGATAAAATAGTTTTTATTAAACATAAAAATGTTTAAGTATACCCCTGATGTAATTAATCAAATTAAAATATTTACAGATTTTTCTTTAATTAAATAATCAAAAAGTAGCTTTTCTCTTCTAAGAGTTGTAAGGTAGGATTGTTCTTCAGTAGATCCAGCATATATTAAAAAGTAAACTATAAGTTTGTATGTTGCATCTGAATTTTGGAACACCTGTAAAAAAATTATAAATTTAATTGTAAGAGATAATACAATATTAATAAAATTTTAATACTTCAATCTGTCTAACTGCTGTCATGTTAACATCATACATGACAATAAATTTTGGTTTTAACTCTTTTAATGTACGTGGAAGCGATAGAAAATCTCCATCTTTTTTATACTGTTGAAGTATGATTATCGGTTCTTTAGTGGTTTCATTCTAAAACATGGAATTGATTGTAAAATTTTTTTTTAGTGATGATTTTTTTATAATTTTACATACATGAGAACCTTGAAGACACTCAGTAAATGTAAAATTTTCATGGTTTTTTTGCTGAGTTAAAGTAAAGTTTTCAGCTTCATAAATTTCTTCATTTATATCTTCATGATTTTCTTCGATATCCTCTATAATTGTATCATCCTTATCTGTAGCTTTATGTTTAGCCATTGTAGATGAATTATTATCTTTTATAAGTCTTTTATACAACTGCATTAACAATTTATCTGCTCCTTCAACAAGAAGCTTGAAAGATAATAAATGATTAATATTTCTCCAAAATTATCAAATATTAAAATAAAATTTTTAATTTAGATTTTACTTTTTTTAATTGACGACATGTATCAAGAGATTGTACAAGAATTAGTACAATTTCACCATTATTACTTTGGCCAATTTCTTTTAATATTTCAGTTAAACCACCCCACTTTGGATTTGGTTCAGGACAGACATCTTGAAAAAGTATAGAAAAATCAGCTATTTTTGTTTTTTTTTTCAAATAGGTATTTTAAATTATATATGTTATTTATGTAATACGTTAAAAGTGTAATCTTAACAAAAAAAAAAAAAAAAATTAGGTAACATTATAATCATTTTTAATTAAAAATGACAGTATTATTTAAGTGAAGTTGGCACTACAAACTAATTTCAACCAATACTCTAAAATTGTGCTTTAAAGGTAAAATTGCATGTACATACTTCAAGTTAGACTTGTTAAATTAATTCAAGTATAATATAAAGTTTGTAAATACATTTTTAGCTTTAATACACAACTTTAAAATGTCGAAGAACATAATCTCAGATGCCAACATTCCATGGACAATAGTGTACATAAAACAGATATTATATAGTGAAATAAATTGTATATTTACCATATCATTAAAATATATTGACAGTCTAGTGATAAGATAAATTTAAAAGTTGTAATCTTTCAGAAGACTGTAAAAATGGAATTTTTTTACATTGTAGTAAATAGGAATTTTGAAATTTAAATTACAATAACAAAATTACTTAACTATCAATGGAATTAATCTTGATACTGACAAATGAAGTGAAATTTTTCTAAACTAAAAATTTCAAAATTTGACTTTATAATTTTCTTACAAAAACTGTCCTTATACAGAGTGATTGGTTTATCATAAACCACTCAATTACTTGCAAAATAAATACAATATTACAAAAAAATTTTTTTTGTATTTTAGTTACATAAATTTTTTATATATCAGCAGTTAATTACTATTTAAAATTATTTTTTATAACTAATAGAGGTGTTAACTTTATATTTTTAAATAGCACTGTACATATTTAACTAGATTAAAAATATGATTGGTCAATAATAACTATTGACCCATTATTTTGGAAGTTATTCTCATTTTATAATAATGGTTGGAGGTGAGATGCTGTTGTTGTTATTTATACTTGTAATTTCCCAGGAGTACTTTTCCTCCAGCATAGGCTATAAATATTTTCGTCACAAATCAATTTTACAAAAAAAAAAAAAGTAAATCATATATCAAAAAATATATTTTTAAGTGTAACAAATTCAATGGTTTAGTACAAATAGTTGTATCATAAAAAACATTAAGAAAATATATTTTTTGATGAGTAAGTACTATAAAACAAGTAAAAAGAATGACTGGTCAAAAGAAATAAATATTTAGATATTGCACTTTATTGCGAATAATCAAGTGGTTTACTGGTAAACCAATCACTATACATATATAAGCAGATTTTAAATAAAAAATATCTGATATAGTTTTATTATAACTATTAAAACCTATTAAATTCATAAGAAACAATGAATTAAAGTAAATTAACCAATGTAACATTATTATGTAGAGACTAAAAAAATTAACTACTATATAATACTAATATACCTTTCTTCGAATTATATAGTCGCTGTTTAGCTGATACAAATAAAGTTTCAGCAGCATCAAGTAATAACCATCCTGAACTTCGATGAGCATAATCTGAGCTGGAATAACTTGATAGCTTTGATTGAAAATGTACACTATCTAATGAAGTCACAGATCTAAAATAAAATACAACTAGTTTCCTTTTATAACAACTAATATTTAGATAACATTAAACATTAATCAAATTTTTTTACAAAAATCAAGATTTTAAAGTTATATTAAATACTACAATAATAAATAATCTTTAGCTTTAATAAAAAAAAAAAAAATTTGAACTATTAAACTCAATTATAATAATAATTATATATATTATCAATTATTATAATCAATTATAGACTCATTTATTTAGCGCTGTAAATTTAAACTAAAAAAATTAAAAGTAACTTATATCATGAGAATTTTACTGAAGTTTAAGTATTTTCTTATGGATATAAAAACACTAAAAATTGGATGAAGATCGTCCCTGATACATTCTTCATTTTAACTCAATAAGGGTTATTACTATTGGCAAAATGATCTATTTCCCCAATAAGATTGTACAATCTAGCATCCCTAACTATTTTAGTTACTAGAGAGCTTGATATTTTGAACATTTTACATCATACTTACAACATCAATGTACGTAAAACTTTAAGATCAGATACTAATTGTCTAGTACTAATACTCAACCTATGCCAAATAGGATTTAATTGCATTTGTAATATTTTATTAAAACACTTAGACAAGCAATTTTCTACTGTAAGTTCTTCTGTATCCAACTACAAGTATATTATATTAAGAGTTATAATATTTAAATAAATATAAATTAAATAAGAACTTACTGAAGGATTGAGCCTTTTCAATTCTTTAATTGAAAAATTAATAAGATCAAGAAGAGATGTTTGAATATCAATCATTTTAGGAGTTAACTCTACATGTAGCTCAATAACTTCTGGCTAAAAATTTTAGTAATTTTATTAAAAATAGATCACACAGTTAAAAAAACAGTAGCACAGTGTGGTGTCGGCCCAGTATGGACGTGGCATAGTTGGGACAAGTATAGATGATATCTGACAGTGATTAAAATCACTATCATAAGAAACACTTCAATGCAAATCTATAGATAGTATTTAATTTTAAGATATTGGTGAATAATATTAATAATTAAATTTAGTATTAAATTGATATTCAATAATTTAATATTTTAATTTATACGGAGATATTATAAAAATAATAAAGTAATTGTATTTTTCTTTACTTTTAACGCGTATAAAAATTTAAAGGGCTTAATACAATACTTTTCAATAAAAAATGTTTGTTACTTATAACAAAGTTATAAGTTTTATACATTGGACAATAAGGAACTTTCATCAGAAACAAAAATATACTTTTCTATATCAACTTTTCGAGATGTTTTCGAATGTACAATTAAACTTTTTCTATCACTTTTAAGTTTTAATATTATTACTTATTATTAAAAAATAAGTAATTACATATAAAAAAATAATTAAGAACAAAAAAAAATTGTTTTAAATTAATACTGATTTTGATTATTATGTTAAAAATAAGGAAAATAACATATTTAACCTATTTTTATAATCTTTTATAGTTGATTTTTGTGAAAGTTTATAATAAAACAAATTAATTTATTGCAATTAATAAAAAAATTGTCGTGAAAAAGTTGCCATTTTGAAACCCTTCCTGTGGACTAGTAAAGGGTCAAATGTTTACAAAAATATATCAAATGATAGGTAAATACTTTTGACGTATTGTTCATTAAAATAGGTCGTGTGAGATCTGAGAATGAGCGTTCATAGACAAAAAAAACATATCATAGTAAAATTAATACCTTCTAGTCAGCTTTGAATTGAAGCTAAAAAATGTTTATAAGATAATAATACTTAGTATAAAAGGAAGTAACAAAAGGTAATAATTTGAGTTTTTTTAAATCTTAAGTAAATTTTATAGCTCAATTTGATCTTTTTTTATTAAAGTAGTGTTTAAAAATATGTTTTTTGATTTTAAATAATAAATAAAACTAATAATTATTAGTTTTACCAAATATCTNTGTAAATTTGACCTTTTTTCTGCCCACAGGGGGGATTTAAAATGACAACTTTTTAACAACAAATTTACTTTTTCAACATAACTTTTGAAAATGTTCCAGAAGGTCTGACACTTTTATATATATCTTAAATTAAAGCTAATGTAATATACTTTAATTTGAAAAAAAAAAATTTGACCTCTGGACTTGTCTTCACGGCGAAAATGGCTACCGAATGCTTATTTCGTGTGAAAATTCTCGATTTTATTATTTATATTATATTTAACTTTATAATGCTATAACTTATTGAAAAGTTTATGGATCCACACAATTTTTTTATGAGAAATAATATTTTTTAATAAACCCTTTTTCATTCGACATACTTTATCTTAATCGAGATATTAATAAGGAACCAGCAAATCAAGTAGCTTTTGGAATAAAACACCAATTTTTTTAAAATTAAACACTATCTAAAGATTTGCATCAAAGCGTTTATTTTTGATAGTGATTTTAATCACTGTCAGATATCATTATACTTGATCCAACTATGCCACGTCACCACTGTACCGCGACCCCCCCGTGCTGGGTTTTTTAATCTTTTATAGTTGATTTTTGTGAAAGTTTATAATAAAAAAATTAATTTATTGCAATTAATAAAAAAATTGTCGTGAAAAAGTTGCCATTTTGAAACCCTTCCTGTGGACTAGTAAAGGGTCAAATGTTTACAAAAATATATCAAATGATAGGTAAATACTTTTGACGTATTGTTCATTAAAATAGGTCGTGTGAGATCTGAGAATGAGCGTTCATAGACAAAAAAAACATATCATAGTAAAATTAATACCTTCTAGTCAGCTTTGAATTGAAGCTAAAAAATGTTTATAAGATAATAATACTTAGTATAAAAGGAAGTAACAAAAGGTAATAATTTGAGTTTTTTTAAATCTTAAGTAAATTTTATAGCTCAATTTGATCTTTTTTTATTAAAGTAGTGTTTAAAAATATGTTTTTTGATTTTAAATAATAAATAAAACTAATAATTATTAGTTTTACCAAATATCTAAGTAATTATTTAAAAAAAAATTATTTATATCCCTTGTATTTTTAGTATCTCATACATCATATTATATAACATTGTATATTTTGGTAAACTTGCATACAACTTACCTTTACTTTATCTAAACTAGACTTAACAGCAAGATGAAATCTGGGCCAAAGGTATAATTTATTAACAAATAATGTTTTCATTATACGTTCAATACGAGTAAAACCATAAGTAAATGACTGAGATGAAATTGAAAATGCTTTAATAAATCCAGTCTAAAAATAATTTATCATTATTTGTATTATAAAAAAATAAATATTATTTATAAATTTTAAGTTAATAGATACAAATGTATCTGTAATTTCATTTTTTTCTGTACTTAATTTTAGACAACTAGACCAAAATTGTTACGATTGCTGTATACATGCAAAAGTACTTAAATTGTTGCCATAGAGTAAAAAATTTTAATTAATATTATTTTGAATTAGACACAATACATTTTTTATTTGATTCTAAATTGAGAATTTACCTTGTTTTCCATTCGGTATAATCTAAGAGCAAACGACTCTTGACATGACTCTAAAATATTATGAGCTCGACAAACTAAAAATCCTGTAATTTGAGGAGTTGGAATTCTATGTTTTAGAAGATCAACAACGACTATTCTAGATGATACAAACAATACTCCTCCTTGTAAATAAATTTTTTCCCTGTAAATTCATATATTAGAAGTAAAAACAAATATTTTTTTTTAGTAAAAGTATAAAATTACCTTTCACTAATTGAAGTATCAGCAGATAATACTTTAGGCAGTGGCTTAATACCATCTTTTTTTAGTTGATCAATCCAATAATTTTCTTCGGGAGCAGAAGATCCAAGAACTAACACCAAATTTCCAGGATCGCAATAGACTTTAATTATATTTAATATTACTGTTTCTAAACCAAGACCTCTGTTTAAATAATCACATCATAAGTATAAATAAATAAGTTGATAGTTAATCATATAAATATACACAGTGATATTTTTTGGATACAATAAATTATAATGGAATATATATTATTATGCAACAATGAGCTATGTTATACAATATTATATTATTATTATATGTTATAGGGTTTAAATAATTTAATTAACATTAACTTTTAATTCTAGCTTTTTTATAATAAACTACTAAACACTTTTGTATATTATAATACTAAAAATAATTGAATTATTTACTTAGCACATATTACTAGACCATCTTCATGCAATATATCCAGAAACATTTGATTTTCATAAGGCAGCATTATATAAATATTTTATAAAAAAAGTACTTCTATGATTATACTCATTAAATTCCAAACTAATTGAAGAGGTATTCCAAAAATATCAATTACTTGCTCTTCTTTATCAATATTTTCCTGTAAAAAAATTATATTTCTTATGATTCAATTGTATCAAATAATATCAAATACTAGTCTAAGAAATGATACAGGAAACCAATGGTCAAGGAGAATCATAGTTACATAATGAATTTAAAAATGACACAGATTATAACCAAAATAAAAGTTTAATATTTATTCAGTAGTTAAGGAAAACTTTTTTATGTAGAAAACTAATCAAATAATTTATTTTATCATTATAGTAAAACATATGAAACCCCAAATGTTTTATTAGTTATTAAATGGAATCTATCTTTTAAATTAAATATTTGAGGGCTTGATGCAAAAACAAGGTAAAGCCAACTTTTTCAGATAAATACTTTCTGTTAATTTTGAATAAATATTATTGTTTTGCATAATTCAGTACAAAAACAAGTTCTGTAATTCTATTATTTGTTTAGATATTTAATTTAGAAAAAACATTTCACCATCACTTTTAATGAAGAAATTATAATAAAATTGTTTTTCCTGAAAATTTTGAAAAAAAAAAATGGATTTATCTAGTTGTTGCATCAAGCAAGTTAAACTAAGTAATGAAACAGATGTAAGTAGTTACATTGGTGCTTATAATTAAAATTAATAATAATTTAAATTAAAAATATTTTACAGTGTTATAAGTATAATATTATACAATGTTAAAAAAAAAATTTTTAGGAACTTATTATAGTTATTTTTAATTAAATATTTTAAAAGTAATTCAAATAAAATAACAAAATTAGTTCTTACATCATATTCTTCATTTATAACTAAAGTTTCATTTTCTTCATCTAATTCAAACAAATTCAGTTTAAATTCTTCTCCTGGTACTTGCTTTTGAATAATATCTAAGGTGTACTTGGAAACTTCATGTGAAGGATGACCATAAATACCTAAATATATGGGGCGTTTAAACCTAAAAATAAATTTTTGGTTAAGTTTTATATAATTTTAAATTTACTTATTTAATTATTTTATTATTGTAATAATTATAGTAATTTACTATTTCATTAAACCATAAATTTTTACGGAAAAATGTAAATTACACTTAGATATTAATATAGAAAAAATATCTTGTTGCTTATTAAAGCTGTACTCAGTATAAAGGTAACTTGATCATACTCATATTGCAGAACGTTGAAATTAAAATCTATTGTTAATGTAAGAATAAAGAAATACATTCAATTAAATATTAATTTAAAATGTGTTGCATGAAAATTTTTTTACAGTATTAAATTTCTAAAATTTTTATATAGTGTAAATTATATTTTATGCATATAATGTATATCATTATTTGATGTAAGAAAAATTTTTGGTATTTAAAAATTCAAATATTTATAATTAGGTATATATTTATTTTTTGAATTTAGGAGTATCAACATTTTTTGCACACAATAGATTTTTCATGTCAAATGACAATATATTATATTATATACATAAATTGTATTTAATTTAAAATAATAAATTGTAAATAATATTATTTATATCATTTTTGTGATATAATATGTTTTGTATGATAATTTTTAGCAAACTTTATAATACAATTTATTTTATAAATTTTAAAATCTTAAGAATTCTAAATTTATTTAAGTGACATTTTATTTAAATCAATCTTTATATATTTCATTAACAATAAAAATTATTATGTTGATAATAATAGATATTATAATAAGATATTATGTTGATGTTAGAAGATGAATTTTGTAAATATTGTATTAATATACTAAATATATCATGACTCTCTAGAGACAAAGTGAAAAAAAAAGAAGTTCTTACCACTTTGGCACGTGAACAACGTCAATTCCACAAGTTGTTGATTGAAGACAATAAGTTTCTGTTTGATAAGTAGGAAATTGTGAAATATGGGCTTGTGCTATATATAAATCGGCATCACCTTTTCTAAATAATTATATTTTAATAAATTCAAAAGGAATGATGGTCAAAAATACTTACTCAGATATTAGCACGATAGACAAATAACCTCCGTTTTGTAATGCGAAATAAGTGTAATTATTTTTAACAACTTCGCCACTTATTGTGTGGAGAAGAAAATTTTTTACAGCCTTTGTGTACGATGTGAAAATTAATAATATTATCTGAAAAATAAAACGCATTTTGGATTTCTAGGCTTAAATAAAACTACTGTATAGTCTTTTCAATGAAAGCATTAGATTTATTCAACATACTTGATGTAAATATGTATTGATTAATCAAGGATGACATTTAGGAATAATATGATTTTTTGGATATGGTGAAAAATTACCAGATGTTCAATAAATTATAATTTTATGTGTTTTAATATAAATTTTTATTTATGGTTAAATATATTTCTTCATTAGTAGATTACAACGATTATGTAAGTTATTATGCAGACTTTATACTAGGTTCTTAATTATAATTGTACTATTTTTTTAATATTCTAAAAAAATGATTAAAAATATATCACTTGCCATAATTTTTATAAGACTCATTAGATGAAGTGAAACGTCTAGTTTCCAAAGGATGTAAGTTTAAAATAATTTTTTTTTCACATATGTCCTTTTGCAACTGGACAACTCTACTTATGACTTACAAATGTAAGCATAAATCACAACCATAATCATAATTCTGGGATTAAAAACGTCACTTCTTCAAAAAATTATATTTTGCTTAAAATAATTATCAATTTTGACTGTATTGCAATAGACTAAGTATTTTTAGAGCACATTAAAAAAAATCATGAGTTGTAATTTTTTATTATTATTAGATTGATTTATAGATTTAGGTACAATTTTTTCATAAATAACATTCCAGAAGCTATAATTTAATTATATAACTAATTTAACAATATTGTTGTTACATTGATATTTCAAAGTTACTTGAGCAATCTGTTTATTAACAAGAAATCTATATATATACAAATAGTCATCAAAATTAGTGACTACTATTAAAGATTTTTTGTTGAGTAAAATGTAATTCTTGCAAAAATAATATTTTCAATTTTTAGCATAATTACATATATGATACAAGAAAATTTAAATTCATACAAATTTATTTTTTTTCATTATTAAAAACAAATAAAAATATGACCTTAACATTGTCTAAGATGATATGTATTAAGTGGGCGGGTAAGGAGCCTAGCTCCCAAGTTTATAATGTAACCACCTCCAGGAGTTTAGTAAAATTATAGTCATTGTTGAATAAAAATTATACTTTGAAGGGAGAAAAATAATGTTACAATGAAATGTTATTTGTATCAAAACATATCTGTTCCATTCTGTATTTGTCTTTCAAGTTATTTTTTTTTTTTTTAAACATTTATATGCTTTGATTACATTTTTAAATAGTTATGTTTATAACTTGATATAACTGTGGTTTTAAATGTTTATTATTTCATCTGTAATACAGTGATATTTTATGGTGGAAGTGTCTAATAACTTATGATGACCCTTAGGGTGATGGCCCTCTTTTACATGTTAGAGAGTCAAAGATGGTTCTTGGCTAAGCCAATGATAGATGGGACAGGTATTATGGTCGGCTTGTACCATAAACTAGACACTAGACAAATCTCGCTGGCACCCTGAGAATTGAACCTGAAACCCTGTACGCCAAAACGAATGCTTCTAATCACTAAGCCAAGCCACACCTTATTTTATATTTAATTATTATTATATATTTTCATGATTGAAAACTTATGACATAACATATGAATAATTTATTGTATTCTTTTAATTTAAATCTTTAAAATTTTTTTAATTTAACACCAAATTGAAAAAAAATATATCGGTTGGAAAATTTTTATTTTCATGAACAATTTTAATTGAGTATTTAAAGTTTTGTAATTCTATTAGTAAATATAAATGAATTATTTACTATGATAAATGTGTAATAATTTATTAATAAAAACAAAAGTAAAAAAATAACAACATATTTTCAATAAGAAAAAAAAGTTTATTGTAAGTAAAATATTGTGATATTTAAGGTTTAAATTATACTATTGATAATTTATCTGACAATATATTTTAATGAAATTTTTTGGTTTAAAATTATAATATGCAGTCATTGTTTTTATAGTAAAAGAATTAATGTTTTTTCATTTTATTACATATTAGAAATATCATGAAAATTAAATTAAACACACAGTATTGTAATGTTCTCCAAGCCCATACATGTGGCGATGAAATACTAATATTAACGGTTTATTACAGTCATTATACTCTATGCCAATAGTAATATCAAACCCTTCTGCTTGTACGATTTTAATTGGAGTATTAAAAATATGCGATAAAGCCCTAAGTTCAACTTCACCACCCCATTGAGCAGTATTTGCTACTTGATTACAATAATCATCAAATTGTTCATCAGTAAGAATATTTCCTGTATCTGGATGACTTAAATATGGTATATAATCATCTTTGTTATTTTTAAGAAAGTCTGAAGTTTTCATTCGAATTTCAGGTACTGTATATATTTTGCCAGTTACTTCTTTCAGTTGATGCACAATAGCACTGTAAAGACAATTACCATCAGAAGGAATATCATAAATAGACATTCCTAAATTTTTTAATTTTTGAAGTAATGTTTGGGTTTCTTTATGACGAGCACCTCCTAAATTTTTTATTTCATGTTCTTGAATTGTAGCTTCACGTTCTTTTAACTGAGTAATTTTCTTTTTTCTACGCTTTTCAGCTCTACTTGTTTTATTTGTTGAATCATCTAAAGATATTTTTTCTAGAGAGCTGTTAAAAACATCTTCTACACTTTCATTATTTAATCTTTCTAATTCTTCAAACTGTTTTTGATTCAATTTTACTTCAATTTCTGCTATTTGTTCAGCCACTTCCTTTTTTCTCTTACGATCACCTTTGGCTACAGATTTTTTCAAAGATTGAATTTTGCATTGCATGTTTTTTTTTTCATTTCTATGCCTTTGTAAGACCTCATCTTTACTTTCAACGCTTACTGATTCCATTTAGCACTAGATATATAGCACATTACTTATATATAAAGTGATTATTATTTTAAGTAAATACATACATATATATAATAATGATAATTAATTAATTTGATATTTGAAACTCATAAAGAAATAATATTCTTTAAAAACAACAAATTTATGAATTTATAAAATAAAACATGAACTAGACATAATCTAATAAAATAATTATATTCAATATATTTAAATTTATAAATTAAGTTTTAGATTGACGTTTAAAAGTATTTTAATTTGACCAGAAAACGTAAAATGTTTCATAATACGTTATGAAAAATAACATCTTTATTATAACAGATATTATATAATAATAATATAATGATAATAATCAGTTAAGTTAATTTAAAAACTATGGTTTTGAAAATAGTATTATTGCTTTATATTAATTTTATATAACTTAGTCTTAATCTATTATCCCGAAAAGAAATATATAATATAATGGTAACTCTAATATAAAATACTCACATAATAAACTGTGGGTTTTTGCAATAATAAATTAATTGACATAATTTAAATTTACAATTTTTCAAATAATTAAATTTGAAAAGTAAAGTTTTTACTGAAAATCATAACTTATAAAGCTACATTGATAATTAAAACTCGTGGACTAATAAATGTATACATTATGAGTTTTATCACAGACTACGAATATTGTATTTTCAAAATAAATATAAATATAGTTAATGGTTTTATCGCACTCCTATCATTTAAAGTATTACAAACCATGTAACTCCTAAACAGGTATATTCACCTTGGTTCGTAACAAAATAATTATTATCTAAACGTTGTATAATGTTATGTGATAAATCTAGTAACTGATAAAACAATATTTAACTTTAAAAGACGTTATATCAAAATGGTATATCAAACATCGTTATATCAAAATCAGAATTCTTTCATTAAAGAGACAAATTTTTCATCTTAGATAGTTTAAAATTGAAAAACATATCTTAACTTGATATTTAATTACACATTTTTACTATAAATAATATAAAAAAGGAAAAAATATTTTCTTCTGAATGTATATATTTAATAGATTTATTTTTTGAGAAGCTTTCATTTATTTGTTCTTATATGGTAAATTGCTTTAATTAGTGCAATCTATGGATTTAAAAAAACAAGCTTACATTTTTTATTACTTTTGAATTTATAAAATAATTAATAATTTTTCCTATTTATATAGTTGAGAAATATTTTTATTATTTTATTTTATATTTTAGATGGAAAATATTTCCAAAAAAATGGAACTTCAGTTAAAACTAAGACCTCGAAGTCCTGATATTATATCCGGTAAAACAAAAATGAAGATGAGACAAATTGGCTCTAAATCATTTCAGGAGTTCTGTAAAAATGTATTTACAATAGATATTTTATTACTATAAAAGCAGTAGATATTTATTATTTTAATTCTTTTAATGAGCAACTTGGGATAGGACTACCCCTGCTTTGCTTTTTGCTTAACTTTAATTTATTTTTGTTATAAAAATTTCGTTAAATGTAATATAAATTTTGGTTTACAACCATCATAACTAGGTTTGGGATATAATGCATTTACAATATTTATTTTAGTTGTCTCTACATCAGTGATAAATAGATATTCATGTTTCTTTTCTTCAATCAATGTATATTTATTAAGAATATAGTTATAGGAGTATGATGAAATTACCTTCTTCTAAACAATTCTTTTCTATATTACTATATACCTCTAAGATAAATATTTCTGAAGATGAGTGTCTTATCAGTGGTCCAAACAAATTTTTTAAATGCTTAAAGTCCAGAACCACCCCTATAACAAATAGTTCTAATGACTAATTTTTAATTATATTTGATTCCTATATAATAAAATTAAGGTTACATGTGCATTATAATCGAATCAATATTTTCAATTAAAATAGTGTAATTTTGTTTTAGAATCCAGAGTATTCTGATGTATCAGATAAAAATACCATAATTTATCCATTAAAAACAGTGAATAACTGTAATAATTGTAGCTTACAATCAACACCTTATAGTCAATATTCAAAAAAATTACTATTACAATCAAAAGAAGAAATTAAGTTAGTAATTTATGATACATTATTTACTTATACCATCAAATTTTTTCTGTCAAACTATTATTGAAAAAAACTCATATCCAGAAATTTAACTAGGTTAAAAAAAAATTTGGTTAACATACTGGCTTTTAGTCATTTTTTATTTTCCAGTTTAATATCCTAAACTTGACTTTAAAAACAGTTTACATTTGGTCCCAAATTTGAACAATTTATACAAAACAAATATCAAAAATCATTTGAAGGATTAGTTTTTATAATAAAATTCCATTGTTTATTAACTTTTAATTTACATGTTAATAACTTTCTCAAAAAATATGTACAAATGTAAATGAAATTAAAGTTCATTCAATAAGGTTTTATTATATTAAACTAATTAAATACATGTATATAAATATGTTTTAATCATAATTTTAATACTTATTTCATTATACTTTTCTAGTCTAAGTCCCATTTCTGTTACACCAATATATAAAAAATTATCCAATATAAATGACAATCTTGATGATTTCCCAACAACAAAAAGTAACATTTCACAGGTAACTATTTAACTATTATACACTTTTCTTGGAAAAAACTTTTTCTATTATATTTTCAAAATAGCTTTACCTTTAATGGAAAATTTGACTCAGATGAATTAAATATAATTAATTTAGTTTGATTATTTTATTTTTAGGGTCATTCATTTAATTCAAATATTTTAAGTGTATCAAAAAAATACAAAAATAATAAAAATTCAGGCGAATACTCATTATTAAAAAACAATAATCAATATGAAGCTATACAATCTAAATTACTAAACAATAATATATCAAAAAATTACGATGAAACTAAAAAATGTTTGTTAGAGAAAAATACTTCAGGTTCAACAAATGTAGATATGGATCAAGATTCCTTAAATATATCGTTTGATACTTTAGAACAAGTTTGTCAGATGACAGAAAATAATTTTAAAAATAAAAATTCAGTTTCTTTATTTTTATATGGAGATAATTTATCTAAAATTGAAAATACTATAGAGGAAAAAAAATTATTACAATTAGCATTAAACATGGAAGATAATTTATCAATGCAGTTAAAAAAAAAAAAAGTTCGAAATACAGAAAAAAAATTTACATCATTAAACGAATTGAATAAAAGTGACAATTTATTTAAAAGTAATGATCAAGTACAAAGTGTTACAAATAATTATGCTGAAGATATACTTAACATAGGGAACACACAAATGTGTGAAATAGCTGATATAACTGAACCACTATCATCATTTTATGATCAATTGACTCAAAATTTTGTTCAAAAAAGTAATGATAATAAAAGTGAACACTTAGATGACATTTTTAATACTAATATAAATAATCAACAAGGATACATTATGTCTCAATTGAAAAACGACAATCAAAAACAAAACTGTATTAATAAAAAAAATTTTATAAATAAAACAAGTATAGAAAACCAATCTATAATGGAACCCCAAAATAATTCATTGAATAGTAATGATTCAAAGAGTGAATTTAAGGGTTTTTCTACTGCTACTGGCAAATCAATAAAAGTATCTGAAAAGGCATTGCAAAATGCACAAAAAATGTTGATTGACGATGAAACTGAAAGTACAATGAAAATACCAAATAATTCATTGAATAGTAATGAAGATTCAAGGAGTGAATTTAGGGGTTTTTCTACTGCTACTAGCAAATCAATAAAAGTATCTGAAAAGGCATTGCAAAATGCACAAAAAATGTTGATTGACGATGAAACTGAAACTACAATGAAAATACCAAATAATTCATTGAATAGTAATGAAGATTCAAGGAGTGAATTTAAGGGTTTTTCTACTGCTACTGGCAAATCAATAAAAGTATCTGAAAAGGCATTGCAAAATGCACAAAAAATGTTGATTGACGATGAAACTGAAAGTACAATGAAAATACCAAATAATTCATTGAATAGTAATGAATATTCAAGGAGTGAATTTAGGGGTTTTTCTACTGCTACTGGCAAATCAATAAAAGTATCTGAAAAGGCATTGCAAAATGTGCATAAAATACTAAATGATGATCAAAGTTCTGTACATCATTTTTTTGAAATTAATAAAGATTCTAAATTTACTATAAATCATGATAACAATGTTTTACAAACTTTTAGCATTTTAGATGGTTTAAATACCGAAGCTATGAATGATATTTTTGCTGATGATATTTCTTTTTCATCAAATTTAGTTGAGTCTTTGAAGAGTTCTTCAGTAAATTCTTATGATTGTAAAGTCCAAATTGAGGTTCCAGGTAGTTTCAATAATATACACAGAGATATTTTGAATGACTCAACATCAATTCTTGAGGATCAATCATTAATAGATACTATTGAGCAGATTGAAAAAGTCCAAAATGTTTCCAACTTAAAATTTAACAATAAAAGACCACTTAACCCTACAACAAATGATATACAGCATGAAAATAAAAAAACATTGTTTGATAACGAATGGGAAATAAAAGAATTAGAAAATATATTTAAGAAATATTTAAACAATAAGTTAAGTGATTTCAAAGTATCCCTGTTTTCTGCAGTTGGGCACAATTTACCTAAGAGAAAAGTGATAAAACAAGTATGATATATAATAATTCAATTAATTATATTTGTAACATTTTATGAATTTATAATAAAAATTGATCACTTGTGGCTAATATTATTTAAAATTAATATAACATTAAAAATATTAATTTGGAACTGAAAAATATTGAAAATGTTCTACTCATATAGCTATAAAAAACTACTATAAAACTACAAGTAAGTATTTTGGGAACAATGTTATCATTATCAATTCTAGACTCGGAGTTGTACTAATATTTGTTAATTTTCAATTAATATTTTTAATATAATTTTGTTTTTAAAATTTAATATATATTTTTAGTTTTTTTATAATTAACTAGATGATAAAGAAAATATTATACTTACAACTAGAAATGTAAAAAAAGAAACGGGTTTGTTTGTTTTTTTATGTTTAACAAATAATATTAGTTGATAACTAAATAACACGTAATATGTTTAATTTTAATAATTTTAGTACCAATATTAGTTAAATTATAATATATAGTAAGTTATTGGTATAAAACATCATCAGGGGTGCAGTCAAAGGGCTAGGTGCTTTATTCTCCTTGATTTCAATTAAGCCCGCTCCTTAAAAAAAAATTGATCACCCTATACCTATATTTATATTTCCTAAAGTAAAAGTTATATGTAGCTCCCTGTGAAAATTTTTGTAAATTAAAGCTTAGGAAGCACATTCATAGGGGAAACATTTTTATTAATTATTTATCTATTATACCTAAATGACAAGGAGCAGTTTTATGCAAATCAATATTTCAAATATAACATTTTTTGTAATATGAATAATAACAATAAAATTACGCTATGAAGTCATATCATTGCATTTTTAGAGTATACATTTATATTAGTCCTTATGGTATAAAAATATTTTAAATGATTAAGGAAGCATAATAAAGTATAATTATACCATAATAAAAATTGATCACTTGTGGCTAATTTTACTTAAAATTAAAACTATGTTAAAAATGTTATTAATATGAAACTAAAAAATATTTAACTTTTGAGTTAAATATTTTTAATATAGTGCTAATTTTAAATAGAATTATACCTTTTAGCTTCAATCCTCCTCATAAATATAATTAAAAAATAACAAAAATAAATCCAAAATATATTTTTTGAACTTTTATTTGTAGAATCTAAATTACATCAACATGGATAATCTATTAAATATGAAGTTATACTGGGATTGTAATCAGTAATTATTCAGTTTTATTTAATTGATATTATTATTAACACTAGTTATTTTATATTTTTACAGAAATCTTAAAGATGCAAATATCTACAACTTTTGTGATGTAAGAAAAATATTTGAATCTCATAGTTTTGTTGATAAAAAATTAATTCCAAAAGGTTGGGTTGAAAATCATTTTTTTTGGATAGTCTGGAAATTAGAATCAACTGAACTTAGTTTTCCAAATAAATTTTCCAACAAGTAATCAAAATTACTGAAATTTAAATTACTATATGCTATCAACTAATTTATGTATTTATATTAGACTTTTGACAGCAAAAAACATTATTCTTCAACTTTTATTTCGATATTATAGAGAAATAGAAAAATGTCAAAGATCTGCCTTAAAAAAAATTCTTGAAAAAGATGATATTTCAACAAAAAGAATGGTTTTATGTGTTTCAAAAATAACTTATGTATGTACACTTAAAGACCTACATAAAATTGTTCTTATACCACAATACCCTTAATTTTTTAGAAAATTTTAACTAAAATTTAATTGTAGGCATTTAATTCTTTTGAAATTGTTTTTCAGATTAATAATTTTAACATAATTATAATAATTATTTACTTTTTCTATGATTAAATAAAATTAGAGGTATCTGTTTTAAGAGAAATTAATTTTACTTTTCGTCGTTTTTCATTTAAAACATATATTTCAGTAGTTAATACACTTAAACAAATAGACTGGAGGTGAGGTGTGTGTATATTATTATTTTTATTATTATTATGAATAAACCTCTACTAAACAGATATTAAATAAAAATATAAAAATGTTCATACATCATTATTAACTTCAGAAATTTTGGTTCAAAAATTTTTATCAATTAATAATTTTTATAATTGAATAATTTTCTAACATTTAAGTTAGCAAAATATGTATGTTATCATTAAAAAAAGGAAATTTGCTACTCTTATAAAGGATAAAGGATAGACCTAAAATATATGTAACCACTTATATAAATTGAGAAATGAATACTTCTAAACAAAGCAAAAATAACCTTAAAATTATTATTTTAGGAGATATCTAGTGGTCAATGAAAAATTATGTATATTAAAGTATTAAGAATATACATTTAGTATTTTAAAAGCACTTTTGAAATTGCATTGTAGTATTGTATAAAGCTACCTTATTGTAGAAATACTCCCATATTTCTATATTCAATAATTAAAAATGTTTATATCTCTATATTTATATTTCAGATTAGTACTAGTGAAACATTTAACATTGAACTGACTGATGGATGGTATAAAGTCTATGGTATGTTAGATTTTGAGATGAACAGACTTATACGCAAAGGTGTTATTAAAGTTGGAACAAAACTTTTCATAACTAACGCAGAACTTATTGGAGCTGGAGAAGGAATAGATCCATTAGAAGTAATTATTACAGTATAAAAATCATATGTTAAAAAATACTGGATTTGTGGATTTTCCATATTAGCCTATATTTATATTTGGTCTCAGGGAACAACTTTTAAATTTGGAAAATTTTGATTTATTTTATAAATTACTTAAAGACTATTCATCTTAAAATTATACTCCTTGGATCCAGTATAGAATTGATAAAGTCCCAATTTTTTTTTAATAACATTTTTTGATTGTAGCTTGGGGTGTGATCACACTTTAGCACCTCGACCATTCTGTCCCTGTTAAGATCAAAATGTGCAGAAAATGTATGATACAATAAAATTAAAAAATTAAAAGTAAAACAATGAGATTAAAAATATAGTCATACAGTGAAACAACCTTTAAATGAAAGCACTGCTGATCCAATTTTTTTCTTTTAAATGAAGGTTTCCGTTCAATAAAGGTTAATTTAAATCTATTTAAAAAACTAGAACCCTAGAATTTTTTCATTAAAAAGAGGTTTCAGTTATTTTTAGTTGTTAATGAGGTGGGAAAGAATTGCCCAAACTACTCAGACCTGTAGGTCCATTATGTGCATTTGCTACCGAATTATAATGATTTGATTTCTTCATATGAGTGTTTCTACCAAAATGCTGTTACAATTACTTGTATACTTTACACTATATGTATATAAGGTAATTATTTTTACACTAGCCACTCAATTTCTCTTAAATTAATTACATCTGTGAATTTTTTTTTTTGCTTTTGTTAGTTTCATATGTATTTCTATTTATATTTTATAAAATATTTTTATGTTCATCCCTTATGTCTTATAAGGGTGTCAACTTTATTTTTTTTTAAGGAAACATATTTAACTAATTTATAAATTAAAAAATGACTGGTTGATAACATTTTTTGGACCAGAATTTCAGAATTTACTTACAATTTAAAGTTATGACTTGAGGTAAGAAGTGGATACTGCTAATTTTATCATTAGATATTTTTTTTTGGCTTCACTTCTCCTTCCGCTAAGGTATAAATGATGATAACTTTTGAAATACTGGTCCAAAAGTTGTTATCAACCAGTCATTTTCTATTTTATAAATTATTTATTTATTTATTTTACGCCAACGGCATTTCAATATATACAATAAATTAAAGGTTAATGATAGTATTTACAACATCAAATATATATAAGATTATAAACATTACATGTTAGAGCACAATATAAATTAAGAAAATGAACAATATATGTTTGCATAATAGCAGATATAGATCTAATAATTATTACTAAGAGTTATTAAGTACACGGAGCATTCTATGCAAAGGATGATTATTGGAGTAATTAGTACTGTGAGAGGGAACAAGGTAAAGAGAGTGATATCTATTATAATGTACAGGTACTCGGAAAGAAATGGAAGATAAATTAGTTAAATATATGTTTCCTTTAAAAAAAAATAAAGTTGACACCCTTATAAGACATATGGGATGAATATAAAAATATTTTATTACAGATAAATGGAAATATATATATAACTAATAAAAGCCAAAAAAAAATTCATAAAAAAGTAATCATTTTAAGAGAAATTGAGTAGCTAGTGTAAAAAAAATCACTCAGTATAAACATAGGACGTCCTACTAGGCCATTCCTAAATATATTCAAAAAGTACTGTCTGGCGAACTTTAGTGTCTCTTTGGGTTTTAGGTTTTTGATATCTCTTTTTTTTCCTCAAGGAAGACTTTATGAAATCTATGGGAATGGCGATTCCGCAGTACCCAAAATTATGTTAGGGTTATAGAAGGATAACCCTAACATCTATCTCTAGGTAGGTTAGCAGGAGGCTGACGACTTGCAATGTAAAAATTTCATGTTCAGGGCTCAAACAACAAAAAGCCTCGGATTAGATTGAGAAAAAAAGACTGGAAATTGTATTTCAAATGGGGTACTTAGAATTTATAAACCTGGAGCAGTTGTGGAATTAATAGGAGAAGTGGAGAAATATAAAATAAAATTCGTAGCATTACAGGAAGTAAGACTGGAAAAGGCAGGCACAACAAAAATATTACAATCAACCATCATAATTGGAAGAAGCGAACTAAGTCACAAGCTTTAGACTGGTTTTGCTATGCATGAATCAGTCATACACATGATGAAAGAGTTCAAAAATGTAAGCTCGAAGATCTCAACGTTAACACTAAAGGATAATGACCTTAATATTGTGTTAATTAATGTTCATCCACCAACTGAGGATAAAAATGAGTTAGAAAAGGAATATTTTTATGAGAGAATAGAGGAGATTTTCAATACAACATTGGGAAATATAAAAATCGTTCTAGCTTTAGCATTCCTTCTTTAAATGCGTTTAAGTTCTATCCTGGCTGTAATAACCCACAAGACCAAGAGATCATACAAAACCATATACTGTCTAGAATAATACTTAAGTATTTCAGTTCTGACTTAATGCCAATTTCTCGTCCATTCAAGTTAAGTATTCCAAGACTGTAAAATCTTTTCCCAGTGACCATAACTACCTCTGCTCTTTTTGAATTGATAGCTAGAGTATACTTACTACAACACATATGTATAGTGTTTAGTCTATGCTCTGCCAAGTCTATAATTGTGTCTGGGGAATTTACCTACCACTACTATAGCTAAGTCATCCACTAAAGGAGGATTCATTATATAAATATATTATTTAACACTATCAAACAATATATATGTCGATAAATGTATTATATTGTTAAAAGTTGCTTAACTTTTAAAAAATATGTAAAAGTACCAATAAGAAAATTGTTTACATATTTTAGATTCACGAAAATGTTAAACTAAAAATTTCAACAAATAGTACACGACGTGCTCGTTGGTATTCCAGACTAGGGTTTTGTAAAAATTCAAATCTTCCACTACCAATTACTCTAGAATCTATTCTTCCACGTGGTGGTTTAATTGGATCATTATCACTTCTAATAATAAGAAAATACCCTATGTTATATTTTGAAAGGAAATCAAATTCCAAATCAAGCAAGTATAAAATTAGTTTTTAATAGTGTAATTTTTTTATTTTAAGAATTTTGTATTTTACAAACAGGATGTTTTAAATTCATATAAATTAAATAAAATTAGTTAGTAATTTAAATAAATACAATTTTAGTATTTAGAAATGAGAAAATGGAAAGATTAGAAGAAGAAAATTATAAAATAACCCAACAAAAAAATTTAGAAAAAATTTCAAGTATCGTTAGAACTGAACTGGAAGCTGAATTAATATTAAAAACTGAAAATAAAATAAAATCAAGGATTTTGACTAAAGACAATATTGACAATTTTAGTCTAGAAGAACTTAGTTGTATAATTGAAAATAGTATGGATCCTTCTGAAATTCAAGTAATAAATTTGCTATATAAAAATATTAAAAATTTAATTATACCTCATTATATTTATAACAAAAATATTTAGTCGATCATGTCTAAAGAAAAATTAGAAGCTGTTAAATATTACAAAAAATCTCAACAAGATAATTTCATTCAAGAGTTAAAGAGTAGAGTTAATAAAGTCTATTCTGAAAAGTTTGAAAATTCCTCGCGTAAAGTAATTCCATTACTTAAGGTAATAAAAATCACCTTAAAAACAATTTGCCATAACTAAAGTTCTATGATAAAATTTAATAGGAATAATTTACCTTATACATTTTATCAGTTTACTGTGAAGCACGAGATGAAAACTTTATGAAATATAAAGAACTTGAATTCTTTCATGTCAACATTTTTACATTTTATTCAGTTTTAAAAGTGACCTAAAAAATAATTAACCTGTTGCTTTAAATTTCTAGCTACGGGTTGTTGAAGTAATACATTCATCTACAGGATTCAATTCTGCTATACTTACTATATGGAATCCTTCTGAAGATATAATTACATTTTTTGATCAAATATCTGAAGGCCAATGCTGTGTATTTAATTATATTACAGTTACTGGATTTATGTAATAAATAAATAAATTTAATTGATGTACCATTTATTAAAAATTTGTACACATTTTTATTTCAGAAATGGTGAACTTCAATTATCAGCTGGGAAACAATCAACTTACATTACAAGAAAAAAGTTGGATGTTTTTGCTAAACGCAAAGTTGTTAGTACAAAAGATATTTGGTCTGATCACTTTACATCCTTTTTTGGTGAAGTAGATATTGTTAGTATTGTTATTAAAGTAAACAAAACGAGCATTTTTGAAGAAGTATATGTTAGTGATACAGAAATGAATGTTATAAGTATTATATTTCAAAACAGTATAAAGGTAATTTTTTCCTATTAGTTTATTACAACCAATCAATCAATTATGATTATTGGATAGGAGGTATATCCTAGAGATATCAGCAAAAATGGACAAAATATTTTAGGGGACTAATGATATATTTTGATATTTTTCTTCAATCATAAAATGGTTTTATCAGGGACTAAAACACATTTTATTATGAAATAGTTCATGATAAATGAATCACTCTGTGTATATTAAAGTGAAGATTAACTAAAACTATTTTCAATAGGAATTTTGCTGTAATGAAATGTTGATTCCTGGTACTGTGTTATGTGGTATAAATCTTTTATTAAAAAACAAAGAAAAAAAAACTTTTTTACCAAAGTTGTGGGTCTCTGAACTATCATCGTTTTCAACTCTACCTAAAGCTGAATATTTGAGAATACGTGTTCAAGAATATAAAATTTTCATGAATAATGTAAAAGTAATATGTTTTAAATTTTATAGTATTTTATGGCCCATTTTGTTATAATTATGAATTTATATTATATAGCATGAGAATTTAGATTTTCTTCAAGTTTGTCAAGGTAAGGTTAACACTTATCTGTTAAACAATGATAATACAATACTAAATATGTCCAAGAATAAAATTGAAACGCATTGTAGAGAGGTATCATCATCTATTGTTAATACATCACTCAATAATTTTCAATCTGAATTTTCACCAGCAAGAAAACGAATTAAAATGTTAAATGCCTATGGTAAAACTCCTCCTTTAAACATTGTTCATACTAAGCCTATAAATAAAAAGCTAACGAGTCAGTTCAAAACACCCAGTCGAATTTAAATTTAAATAAATTAAACCATGATGATTTAATGAATCATAAGTTACCATTTATAAGTTATACTATTTTATATTTATTCTTTGTGTTATGTTAAATGCACTTGTATTTTTTAAGTAATACAGTTTTTGTTGTGTTAACTAATATTTTAATAAATTGTTACAATACTTTGTATAAATCTTTTACGGAAATGTATGGTTGTACATTATATCTAAAGTTATGATAAAATAGAAAAAATATTTTTAATTATTAATAGATTTAAACAAAAATTTTTTTCATTAATATCTCAATCCTCAAGGTTTATCTTCTTTTAGGTTTTTTATATTGTTAACTATAAAAAAAAATAATACAGACTATTTAAATTATACTTTTAAATTAATTGGAAATTTTAAATACCTGTTAATAATGTAGCCTTATCAATATTATTTTTAATAAAAGTAATTCCAAAGCTGCGTGATAGCTTATATATTGGAATAGGTTCAATTGTTGATGATATTGGTTCTAAAACTAATTTATATAAACATTAATGTAATACTCAAACTTAAAGATATTTCCTTAAAATATGTAGTGAGTACCTGGTTCAATGTATTCATTAAGTTTAGAAGACATTTTAGCTGACTCAAATAATCCAAATATTATTAATAAAATAAAGTAAAACCATATGGTAGTTAATTTAAACATATTTATAGAAAAATTCACAGGAGTAAAATGCATAAATAATTTAAAAAATTAAATTTTCAACTCTGATCCATAGTTTATTATAAATTATTATTAAAAGTGAAAGGAAGTAGAAACCATCACACTCATTACAACTGAAGTTGCCCATATATGTAAACTAGTAAATGTAATTTTGAACTATGTGGGTGTTTTAGAATGAAAAAAATACAATTGAACTCATCATAACTAATTATACAGTTTATTCAACATTTTTTTTTTCCATTTATTATATAAATAATACTATTAATATTAACTCCAACGATAGTGTGCATATGCTCTGTTAGCTTCACATTGCTTATGTAAATCCAATTTCTTTTTAATTACATGTCCCTGAAACAACATATTATATGTTAAAATTTATTTATAATCTACATAACAAAATTACTCATATAAAAAATAATTAGTACATTTAAGAATAAAATTTTAATAACAAATCCTATTAAAATCCTGTTGATTTTTGATATTGATATGATTTCAATACAACTTTAATAAGTTGTAAGATTAAACATAAGGGATGGATTCAAAAACTTATAAAGCCATAAGATAATTTATTTCAGTCGTATTTCAATCCACTGGGAAAACTTCTAAATTTTTTATAAACCAATCTACTATAGATAAAATTTATAATATTAGAAAAACTAAATTTTATTGTTAAATAAAATTAAAAATACAATACATTATATGAAATTTTAATTGCTTTATATTTACAATAATCACAACAAAATAAATCAATAAATTTAATTCAAATACATTTTTTATTTTTAATTAAAAAATATTCTAGCAAAAAAAAATCTTAAATATTACTAAATAATTCATTAAAACAGCAAAATCTTACTTCATTATTTGAAGCATTAATTAATTCTTTTGAAATAAAATCTGCAAAACTAATACTTTTGTCTTTTTCACGTCCACAATGTACAAACCATCTCATGGCAAAAAAAGTTGACTCTTTATCAGTAATAGGTACTGGAACCTAATAATAAGAAAATATTAATTTAAAAATAATAAACACAATAAAGTTTGATAAAAGTAGGAAAATATACTGATGTTTAAATAATATTAATTAAAAAAAAAAAAAGGTGACATATTACCCTCATAAAATAAGGAAATATAAAGCATACTTGCCAATATATTATTAACATTACAGATATATAAAAGTAATTATTATAAAGTTAAATTTAATAAAGGTCAGAAATTATTTAAGTATAACAAAATAAAAATAATTAAATAAATAGCATGCCTGATAATATGATCCTCCTCGTTTAACAGGAGTTAATTTCAATAATGGTTTACAATTTGCAATTGCTTTCTTCAATATAGTTACAGGATCAATAATTATTTCTGTTTTTTTTTCTGGGTTTGTTTCTTTATTATATTTTTCTAATTGTATACGTTTAATTTTTTCAAATGTCTAGTATTTAAAATTAAAGAAATTTTTGTTAAAAAACCATATTTTTATAAAAAATATATACTTGATAGAAAATAAATTTTATCTTACTTTTTCAAGAACTTGTCTGGCTAGTTTTTTTTGTCCTTTATGCATCATGTAGTTAGTAAATTTGCTAAAATAAAGAAGTTAATTTTATAGTAATTTTTTCAAAAATAAAAAAGTTTATTTATTAATACTCAATATATATATAAGTAATAATTTTAGAATATTTAAACTTATAATTTTTTTATTTTTTTTTATTTTTAGTATCTTTATTTATTTATTTATTTTGAACATACTAATATGAAGTGATAAAAAAAGAAGGAACAAAGATTTCCAAATATATTTATATGAATTAACTATTCATAATAGTTCATCTAGAAATACAATTTATTACCTCGATCAAATAATGCACTAAAATGTTTTCATAAAATAAAGATATTTTTTAGTCATAAAAATCTTTAAAAAAAGTAAAGGCTTAAGTTTCAAAGAAAAATCATTTTATAATATTAATTATAGAATTTTTTTCAGTTAAAAAAAAAATAACTTTTTTACTGAATATTTTTTATTTGGTTAATGATTACCATAATAAAAATTAAATTAGATTTTATTATATTTACTTTAAAATTAGATTTTGTAATGTAAAAGGAAAAAATAATTTAAAGTAAACATATGACAAAATTCTATTAATTCTTTTTTTAAATAAATTTTGGTAAATAGTTAATATTTAAATATAAAACATACGCAACTACAGGATCATGAAACACTGAACAAGTTTCATTACTTTTAGCAGCCTTTACTGGAGTAAGTTTCCATTTTTCAATTTCACCATTTTCATACAATTTACTTTGTTCCTGTTTTTTATAAATAGGTTCATTAAAATGAGGTGGATAAACACTATAGCAAGTTGTTGGCACATAAGGCAATAATTGAACTCTTTAATGTAAAAATTAAATGCATTAGATCAAAATAAATCAAATCTTATTTTCATTAGTTAAAAAATACAAACCTTTTTTGTATTCTAATCATTAATAGTATATTCTTTACAATATATTTATTAATTATTACCATTTTTGGTTATAATATTGGTCCCTATTACTCAAAAAAAATTTCACTTAATTAATAGTTTTAACTTTTAAAAGTTAATTTCATAAAAAAAATTAACACATCTAAATTGATACGACTTAAAAATGATGGATAAACACGAATAATTTCAGGATATATTTATGAATTCATTATAAAAGTTTTTTCATAGACTAATCTTTTATCATTTTAATACTCTGGTGATAACGTTAACATTTTGCACAAACTATATGAAATACAGTTTATTATATATAATATAATAAACTATATGAAATATAGTTTATTATGTATAATATAATGTTATTAAATTCATTTATTCTATGATTATATTATGTTATATTAAAGAAAAATTTAGTAAAACTGAATAGACGAGTGGCATGTTGTATACTAGCTAATTATTTTACTTCAAAAAGTAGTCTTAAATTATCACACCTCAGTTTTAACCACCATAGTTTTTATAATTACTTAATTTATTTCAATATAATAATCAATATTTCAATATTAATCAATTAATTATAAAACATGAATAAATACATATTAGAGAAATTAAATTTGTTATAAAATTGACACTTATAATTTATTGTTGTAATTTTTATGGAGATTTTATAAAAAAATATAAAGTAGTTATATACTTCGTTATTTCTATGACAAACGTATATTAAAATTGTAAGTATAGATTTATAAAAAAGAAAAGAAAAGAATGTTAACTTTATAATTCTATTATTCTGACCTTCATTAATTATTATTTTAGCTATGAAACTATAGTAGTGTATAATCATAAGCCATTAGTAGTTAAAGTTTTTTTTAATTCACAACCATTTTCCTTTTAATATACTTATTGCAATGACATTTTAAGCTGATACTTAAATATTTTTTATATTTATTACATTTTTTTTTTGTGAAGAGGTTTTTATATAGGAGGGTAAATCACCCTCCTTCTATATACCTACCATTTAATCTAAAATCTAGGCATAACTAATTAAAAAAAAAATTGAAGTAGAAAATTATAACACAAAAATGATGATTTTTACACTAAAATAAATTTTTTTGTTAAAGATTATGGGACGTTTACATATGAAAAAAGATTTACAGGAAAATTTTGTATGTAACATAATCTTTAATTTAACATATATTTACTTCTGAGTATTTCTGGAATATTTTCATATTTTTTAATCCTCTATGTGGATAGTTAATAGATTAAATTTTCGAAAAATTTATACCCAATTAAAGGAAAATACCTAAGGTATTTATAGGAAAATACCTAAGGTATTTATAGGAAAATTATTATTTTAATTGTTCCATTTTTCAAAAAGTTATGACAGTTTTAAGTAAAACTAACAATATGATAATCCAGAATTTCAACACAAAAATAGCATGCTTTTTAACTATGGAGACATTTGCACATAGAAAAGCAGTAATCAGTACAAATAATTTTTTTAACTTATAGTATGTAAGATGATCTTTAATTGATTATTGTCAACTTTCCTTAAAGTGAATTTTTCTTCACAAAGCATCTAAAATATAGAACAGTTAATTTTTTGGAAACTAATTAATCTCCCTTTCCGAAAATTATTATATTATAATGCACTATATAACATGTATACAATTATACATTTATTAAATGTACTATTGAATTTATTATTGTATTTAATCTAATTAAGAAAATGACAGTTTGATGCAACTTTTGGACAAAAATTTCTGGAGTTTTTAACAATTTAGAGTAATGACTGGAGGTGAAGAGTGGCTACTGCTTTTTAACTTCGATGCGAAGCTAAGAAGGTATTGGTTTTACTATGATGAGTTTTTTTTTGTGTCTGTTACCACTTTTTCTCAGCTCTCACCGAACCGATTTCTTTCAATGGTACGTCAAAAGATCACAAATCGAATCTAGTCTAAAACATTACCCTCAAAAATTTTCCTCGTTCCCTGTAAATGGGGGAAATCTCCAAAAAAATTACAAATTAAAAAATCTCTAATTTTCGACATTTTTTCAATTTTTAGCTTCGATGTGAAGCTGAGAAGAAATTGGTTTTACTATGATGTGTTTTTTTATAAATACCTTAAATTAAAACTTATGAAATATACTTTATTATAGAAAAAAAAATTAGGACTTCGTAATTATTAGTTGATAAATCAAGAATTATATGTAACTAAAAGAAATCAAAAATTGTTTTTCCAATATTGTATTTATTTTGAGAGTAATTGAGTGGTTTAAACACATACACACACACATATATATAATATCCAAAGAATAAGGAAACAAGTCGATTATTAAAAACAATGAGAACTATAGAAACCCTTTTCTTTACTTGCTGGTCACTTTATATAGAAGAAATATGGTTACTTCGCCACTTATATAAATATTGAATATAATATTAATATAATTATTTAAATTTTTTGGCTAACTCCTTATGAGTCTCTTGCCATAAGTAAAATAAGATAATTTAAAAAATATTCCATGAGGTAAAAAGGTAGAAGTTGATTCGCAACTTTTAACGTCTCATTTAAGTAATTATGAATATAAAATAATATAACCATTGTAATGATAGAGGTATGTTTAAATCACTGAATAGATAAGATCTTATCTATTCTGTGGTTGAAATGTTTGATTTAATTCAAGAACTATGATAAAATGGACTCGTATACGAGGCTTTATCACTAACTATATGAAAATAGTCTGTGGTTTTACAAGCGATTTGGCTTTGTTATACGTTTCCTGTAGAAGTGGGAATTTTAATTTAACAGCGCCATCTACTATTTTACCATTATTACTCGTGAAAACACCTTTGCCACGAACTGATAATGCTTCGACATTTGACAAAGTAGTAATTGTTACGAACATCTGGTACTCCGACCATCTGTACCATAGGTTACCAAAATTACGACTGATTTTACTACGACATTAAATGTACCATTGGTTACCAAAATTACGACGGATTTTACTCCGACATAAAATTTAAAAAATGAGACGGTAAAAACTCCGGCATTATCGATAGTTTGATTATGCATCGAAAGTTATATTTTAATTGTATTATTAGTAATAGGGCGCATCGATCGTATATGGTGCTACGTCAGGGTCACGTGGCTACAGAAACACTACATTATTAAATTAATTATATTATTATTAATAATATTATAAAATTTAAATTAAAATGTTCTATTAAATTAGCGTTTATTTGCTACTTTAGTTATTATACAATAATATGCATATTGCTTATTATTTTCTGATACAATTTCTCACATTTGACAAATGTTATTAATACTTGAATGATAATAGTCATTCATTAAGTAACATAAAATGAATAGTTTTTAATATAAATGTACATTTTTTAAAAAAAATTTCTCTATTGTTAGAATATATATTTATCTTTGAGAATTTTATTTCTTAATTATCCAATAATTACAAAATATTTTCATCAAATCAAAAAACTGTTAGTTAACTGTTTTTTCAGTTGATCCACAAAATTTTATCTAACCGTAACTTATTTTTTAACATCTAAGAGATCCATTTGAAAACTAATTTTTCTATAATAAATATGTGCTGTAAAAATTGTGATGTGCAATTTTATTAGTGATTAATTCCTAAGTGTGTATTATTAAAAAATAATGACTAATATAAACATAATATTGTTAGTATTTGTACAGTATAAAATTGAGTGTTCTATGTCTAATTTGATAATTTGGATAAGTGTCTTCGGGAAGAGTTAAAATAATATCTTATTATTTGTTCGGATACTGAACCTATAAACTGAGAACCCTTGAGGTCTATTCAATAATTTTGGATGTAGTGCAATAGGACCTCAAGGTTAAAAAAGAAATTTCTTCCATGTATGCCTCATCATTCTTAGGGATGACTGGATTTTTTCCTGCGCTGCATTAGGATATCTAAGTATAAAAAAAAAACATAGTATATCTAACTTCAATGCAGTAATTGTTGAATACACTTTTTTTAGTCTTATTACTTTCTGGAAGTTTCTTCCAATAGGTTTGTGTTGACTCAATGGATTATGATTCATTTTTCTTTCAGCAATTTTAATTGAAAATGAATTACTAAAATAATCTTTAACTTTTATATAAAAAAATAAAAATAATATTAAACTGTATAAGTTTTGCTACAAGTTCTAATATAAGTTATGCTAAGAATGAGTAAGTTTTGATTATATATAAGTAGAATTAATTTTTTCTTATTTAAAAATTCTGTGTGTCGTCTAAAAGTAAAAATATATTAACTCATCGTTAAACAATTTTAATTTTGTGTTATGAGTTTTATAATCAATGTTAAATTATTAGTAAAACCATTATAATCTCCAATGGTGCTCAAAAAAAAGTTTAAAATTTTAAGGAGTAAAAAGTTTTTTATTTAAAGTTCGTTTTCTTTAAAATCTAATATACATTTATTAAAATCAGTTTGATATTTCTTTGAAAAAAATATCTGAATAGCCTTTCTTTTTTTTAATAATGATTACAATGAAATTGTTACAAAATTAGACTTCACATATTTTTAACAATGCATTCCATTATTTTTCACAAGTGTTATTCTTTGATATTTTATTTATCAGTAGTTAAACATTATATAATATAAAATAATTGTTATTCCCCTTAAAAATATGTACTTATCACTTGTAAACTAACATTTAATACATTTTTCTTTGTTATTAATGAAGTAACATAGATGTCTAGTCCATTTAATTTAATTTATGCTGTAACTTGTGTATCATCACTACTATTAGTTAGTAAAAATATTTTATTAATTTATTTTAAAATTATATCTAATCTAGATTTTAATGTGGAAATCTTTATCGCTTCTCAAACGCACAAAATAAATTGTCTTTTATCGTGTACACAGTTTCTTTCTAATATTTAAAATAGAAGTGAAAAATTATTCGCTTAAGTGTAGACGAATAATAATAGTGTAGTGTTAATAATAATAATAATAATAATAGCTAGTTTCATGACGAATCCTATCATCAGTGACACGTACCCCTATATTTTTTAACTAAACTAATTAAATGTTATAATAATAGGCACTAGTAAGGAGAGGCAAAAAAGATTTTACGTCCGAAAATTGGAATCGCTCTTCTTTCCCCTCCAAAAAAAAAAAAATTAAGGGCTCACACCAATTATATAACTGGGGTCGTTCTAGTTCAAAGCCCCCTTCCTTACCTTTATGTACCTATTTTATCAAAAGTCGGATATATTTCGAGGACCTTTATTGTAATAATTATTCGTTAATATACAGTAATCAATTATAACGCTATTTTATTATATTAATTAATATTTATTAATTAGTGATAAGGGTTATATTTTTCCATCAGATAATATATTGCTACGATACTCATCTAATTCGAAATTTCATAATTTTTTAATCGATTTTGCGAACAATCAATATTCGGAGCAATCAATTAATAGTCCTATTCGGAGTATTCATCGTCGTAGTAAAATCCAAATTTTTGTAACCACGTATTCGTAGTAATTGTTGTCGGAGTAAATGTATTCGGAGCATTATCAGTTCGCGGCAATCTTCATAACCCTTATTACTCAATGAATTACTATTATCGTTTCAAAATTGATAAAAAGTAATGGCGTTTGGAGGGAAATTTCTTATTTTATTGTTAAGTGTTAACACTACATGATTACCTTATTTCATTCTCACAACTAACAAAACATGAGAGAGTACCAAATACCTATCATCGATACAACTGTAACTGTCGATTGGGAAAATTTCCCGTGTTTCGCCGCGAATAGCCTCCTCTAAAATTTTGTTGTTTTGTGAATGTGAGATACAAGTTAATTTTTAGTTTATTTTTTGGAAATAAACTACCTTTTATTTATTTTGTTCTTTTAAAATTCAGTGTAAACATTTAATTAAATTTTTGAAAGTAATAATATTTATGTTAATCTTATATCTCGTTTATAACAATAGAGGTAAGCCTACATTCGTATAATTATGTGGTATTTTTGTTGTAAACATTTTCCTAAAGTTCAAAAACAATACTAATATAAATTTTTTTGGTAAGATTATTATGAAAAATAATTTAAAATAGATATATTTTGTCTGCTTGTTTACATTTTAATATTTTTAAGTTATTCAAAATTCAGTCATCTGTGAATTGTATTGAATATAATAAATATGGATAATTTTTAATTCTTTTTTATAAAGTCATTTATGTTTAAACAATTATCAATGTTATGTTTTGATTATATGTAGATAGTTGTTAATCACAATGGCCAAAGTACAACTATCAAATGTAGTTGTCTTAGATAATCCATCTCCATTTTTAAATCCATTTCAGTTTGAATTAACTTTTGAATGCATTGAAGATTTAAATGAAGGTGAATTTTAATTGAATTTACTTATTATATAAATTTGACATTCCAAAAAATAAAATGTATTGCAAAAATTGTTAGATTTGGAATGGAAAATGATATATGTTGGTTCTGCTGAAAGTGAAGAACATGATCAAATTTTAGATACCATTTATGTTGGACCTGTCCCAGAAGGGAGACATATGTTTGTGTTTGAAGTATGTTTTCCATATTTTTTCAAATGAGTTGATAAGTTTAAATATTTGTATTGTTTTTTTTAAAGGCAAATCCTCCTGATGTATCTAAGATACCAGTTCAAGATGCTGTTGGAGTAACTGTTGTATTATTAACGTGCTGTTATCGTAATCAAGAGTTTGTTAGAGTAGGTTATTTTATAAACAATGAGTATACTGATCCTGAGTTGCAAGAAAATCCACCAGCTACTCCACTATTTGATAAGGTACTATAGAAAAAAAATTATTGCCTTAGAAAAACAAAAATATTCATTGTTTAGTATATTACATACTTATTATACTTCAAGTTTATGTTTTAGCTTTGATGAAAGTATTAATTTTATCATGTATTTATTTGATTTTATTTTTTGTCTGTCACTACTTTTACTAGGCTCTCACTAGACCTATATTTCTCAACAATATGTTAAAAGATCACAAATTGTATCTACTTGAAGACATTACCCTTAAAAATTGAAAAAGATTCTCTCGTTCCCTTTAAATGGGAGAAATCCCTAAAAAAGTTTTGAATTTTAAAATTGGTAAATTTCAACTTTTTTTTATTAAAAGTGCCATAACTTGTTGATAAATGAACAAATCAAAATAATTTTTTTTTGTATATTAAAGCCTTAGGTGTTTCCCTTTAATTTGATAAAAAAATTTTTAAAATCTGACTCTTTACCTGTCCTTAGGGATTCAAAAAAGTTACAATTTCAACTTAGGCTTTGAAAATGTTCTGGAAATATTTTAAGCTTCAATTATATGTTAAAATAATACATACTTTATGTACTAGAATTTAAAAAGAAAAAAAAATTGTCTCTACAACCTATTTTCTATTTGCAAACAGCTGCTGTAACTAAAAAAACTTGCTATGTTTGTATTTAATTTTTTTTTTCTGTATTTTAAAGTTCCTTAAAGGGTTTGCCTAAGTTTTGAGTCCAATTTTAATAAAATTATCATAAACCTAACTTACATTATAAATTTAAACTTGTTTTAGCTACAAATTTATGTAATGCACAGTGGCTGCGTCAAATATGTTGCAGTCTTCTACGCTCATAGTGCAAAATTAGAAACCCACCCATCAAAATAACTTTTTTTCTTAAATCTTTTTGAGGTAGAAATAAAATTCAAAGTTTGTTTGATTTTTATCTTATTTAGATTGTATAACTTCAATGAATATCAAGACACCACCACTGCAATCTCCCTTTGTGAAAAGGAATTTCTTATTCATATCAAAAAATTTTACTGTATGGTTTTTTTTTTGTGTCTGTCATTCTTTTTTCTCAGCTCTCACTGGACCAATTATTAAAAAAATGCATCAAATGAACACAACTAGTGTCTAGTTAAAGATATTACCCTCGTTGTCTTTGGAATAATCCACCAATTTCTTAAAATTAAACACTACAAATTTGCATTGAAGCGTTTCTAATGATGTTGATTTTAATCACTGTTAGATATAATCTATACTTGTGCCAACTATGCCACGACCCCACTGTGATTGATTGATGAAAAGATTTATTAATATAAATAAATTATTAAATATTAAGTAGTTTTATATTTTATTAAAAAAAATTAGTAACCATTTTTATAAACTTAAATTTAGTAATCAAAAATTTTTCCTTTTAAAGATGTTACGAGGGTTGTTTCAAAAAAAAGTTACACTAAATTGGGAAAGAAAGACATCTATATTTAAAGTAAAAAATAATATTTTATTCAGATTCTCCAGTTCAAAAACTATTGTTCAAATTAATCACTTAGAACAACAATGCATTTTTAGATATGATGGTTTTTTTAAACCTTGTTCCAAGTGGTTTGTGCCTTCCTGCCTGAATTAGGTGTTAACAGCTTTGGTAACTCCTCGTTAGTTCTTAAGTTCTTCCCTCCTAGAAAACTTCAGTTTTGTGAACACAGGGTAATCAGAAGGGGTAAGGTCTTAAGAGGATGGCGGGTATGGAAAGATTCTTAGTTTAAAGATATGTAGTTCTTGAGTCTAACGAGTAAAATAGAGCACGCAATATCATGCATTAACAGTAAAACCTATGAGCAAAAGTGGTCTCTTGTGTTTTATCGCACCATGAAAAAGTGTACGGACTTCCAAGGTGGACACATTAAGTGTAGAAGATCTCATTTTTAACTGACAGCATCTATCTCTTTTTTTATTTCGCTCGTGAAAAATTCTATGTTACCAACAATAGTTGACTAAAGATCCCTGAAAAGTATGTAATTGCTCGTTTAAAAATTTGTCTACCCTAAAAGAATGAATTGACGCCTCTGGTTAAGAAAATGACTGATTGTTAATTATTTGTAAACTACTATGATCAGTAGTATGTGAGCCCTGTGGGTTATTATCAATATTTATATCTGACATATCCATTCTAATTTGTAATAATTTTTTATAAATTGTATGTAGTAATATGCAATTGTATGATAGTACAAATAGTTTAATTTGCCATATAATGAAGTTGAGTTATGCTCAGCTAAAGCTGTGTTTTAATCTTACTTTGATGCTATATTAATTAATATATGAAAACCATTTTAATAATTTATTATTTTTAACAGGCATATGCCAAAAATGCCGCCCCTAACAATTTCAACGTTTTGAATACATGCCCTCAATGCTCCTCCCTAAACACATCTCTTATATGTTTTAACAGTCTTTGTTCATTATGAATATTAGTTTTCACTCTAGATTGCTCCAAAATCATTATACACAGAATCTATGCAGCTCTTAAAATAACGCTCTCCTCACAATCTAACAATGTAGGAAGTTATTTTATAGTATTATATTTTAAACTGAGTTTAACAAAATTGTAGATAACTTTCTATTATTTTCTATTAATTTGATGGCTTGAGAGTCCAATTTCTTTTAAAACCATAGTTTTATTACCAGCTTCATTTTTTAATGACTTATTCAAAGTGAAGTAGTTACAACTAAATTTTGTTGTATAAAATATTGTCGAACTTTGAATACTATTTAAGCATTTATTGTATTTTTATCAGTTGAATTGATATATAACATAGAGTAAATGTTATGAATAAAAAATATAATAATTCTAGTAGATTTCCTAAGTTTTTTATAGAGAGTGCAGTAGATTATTCAGTCACTGCGTTAGTGTTAATGTTCAGCTACGCTATGTGCTTTTGGTTCTCAATTAAGTAACCATACGAGGATTTTAATAATTGACACACACCTTTCCCCTTACTGACTCCCTCAGCTGTAATAAATTTGTGTCAGGTGGACATCCTGTGAAAAATTCCTGTTAAATCATAATAAGGTAGAGCCTACTCCAAACATTTAGGATAGAGGCTAAGGAGATGATGACCTGACCCAAGTTATTTATAGAATTATTTGTAGAATACATCCTGCCTTTATCGTTGTTGTGCAGTTTGAATTTGTGTGTATACAAAATTATAATCTAAATTATTTATTAAATCTATTCCTAGTCAAATTGAATGTTTTAAGGTGTTGTAAAAGGTTATTAGGTACATCTATGTATTAATAAAGAAACTTTTAAATAATTAAACATATTTTATACTTCTTCATTTGAGAAATTAAGCTACCTTTTTCTTTTCTCTTTATTCGATTAAATAAAAGAATTGTAAAAATTTATATCTCAATTTACACTTAGAAGATCATATATAGTATTCAGTAAGAAAGGAAACATATTTCTATTGCTTTCATTATTTGTAACAATTGATCTGTTTCCTTACTTATTAAACACTTCACTTTATGATAATAGTATAACAAAATCGACAACCAACAAAATGATTAAATTCAAATTAATCAATTAAATCATAACAGCTAATAACTTATGATCAAAATGATCATTACATTTGAAATTATTTAATAAATAAAAAAAAAATATAATTTTAATATAGTCTATGAATATATAAATTAAAAAAAAAAAAAAAAAAGGAAAATATTTAGTAGAACATAAGTTTAAGTTATTAGATTTGTCAAAACATAGAACACTCCACTTGTATATATGTACCACAAATGAGTTAAAATTATATTACAACTTTTTTTTTAATTGTTAAAAAATATATTCTTAGATGACAAGAAATATTTTGGGAACTGAGCCTAGAGTTACGAGATTTAAAATTAATTGGGATGATTCTGAGCAGCAACAATCAACTAGCAATGGAATTCAGGCCAATCAAGATAATGAGGACTCAAACATTCAAGAAATGGATGATGAAGTATCTACAATGTTGTCATCGCATGCTGAAAGTAGCCTTAGCCAAAGTCCAATGGAAGTATTATAAACCTGCGAATTTTCAATTATTGATATTTCATCATCATATATGTGTAATAATTTATATATATATATATATATAAGTTAAATAGTTAAAGCAACACCAATATTTTTTATATCTAAAAATTTAGTTTGAATTATGTATGTAATAGTGCTTACCAGTTTAAATAAAATTTCAAATTTATTTTATTTATAAAGTTTGGTTTATTTAAATTAGTTATGTTAGAGTATAAATATAGAAATGTTACAAATTAATCGTTCTACTTAAAACAAGAACACAATTATATATATAATTTTCTTTTAAAATAGTAACTTTATAATTTGGAAACATTTTATTTTACAATTCTTCTTTGACATAACTGGTCTTTAATTCTTCAACTCTCTTAATATAATCAGTTTTTTCTAAACAACCATCACAAATTTCTCCCCAGTTATCCAAAATCTTTTTCAAATCCTTAACTTTTAATTTTTTCAAATTAACTGTCTTCCAATCAATTTCTTTATCTATAATAAATATTCATAATAAAATAACACATAATTAAACGAAAATTAAATAATATCTACCATATTTAATATCACAAATTTGAGCATCCATTTTCTTTAAACGTTCACAAATTTTTACTGCTGGCATAGACCATGATAATGGTTTAGACATTTCACTTAATATTCCAGTAGCTGAATCTTTTAATCCTCCTAAATAGTAACACTAAGAAAAAATGTATATTCTAAACATATGTCTTATTAGATTCTTTAAAATTAATCTCTAATAGATAAAATCAAAAAACAAATTTGATTCATACAACAGATGTTATGCACATTAATGAATTAATCATAAATTTAAGTTATATTTTCTAAAATAGAATTTCCATTGCCATCTTAGATAACTAATAGAGATGACTAAACTAAACACTTTTTATCTAAATATTTGATATAGGTAATTATCAATTTGGGATTTTATTAATTAAAAAAAAATGTTATTACTAATTTAGAGAAAGGAACAAAGACATTATTTAACTGTTCTTATATTCAATTAAAATATGTTAGTATTCAAAAGCTAAAATTATATTAAAACTAAGTTGGCATTAATTAATCAAAAATTTATTGTAAGTTGAATTATGTCAACCTACAGAGAAGAAGTAAAGTAAAATCAAAACAAGAAAACAGTATACCAAATTCATTTGTTATTCTTAAATTGAGAAAAATGTTATTCTAACTTAAAACTGATATAATAAAGATAGATGAACACTGAGCAAATTAAAATTGTTTGACTTCATGAAATTAAACAAAACTAATTTAAAATATGGATAAATTAAATTTGATTATATTATTTTTAAACATTTTTTCTTAGTCAATGGCATATGTTATTAGATTTTACTTACTAATCTTTTTTCTTTGTCATTTTTGGAAGATAAACAAAATGATCTGAAATTTTCTTCAATTAATTTTAGATCTTTCACACCATCAACAGTACGTGAAAACTTTTCTATAGTCGCAACACATACTAAAATAAAGTTTAACATTATACACTTAATATTGTAATTGAAAATTGCTATCTTCGAAAGAAAATTGTATAATTACCAGGACAATCTTCCGCTGTAAATGTTCGCGATTGAACTAAAATAGTTTGCATAACAACAAAAACAAATACTAATATTAAATACAGGTTCATTATAAAGTTAACTCTTTTATTTTGTTGAAATAAATAATTAGACTATTTTGAAAAACAATAAAGTAATAAAGTATTTTAATGTATTTCAGTAAAATAAAAAACAATTTATTTAAAAATTAAATATTAAATTATTCAAACTGTTTATAAATCAACTTAGAAAATTAGAAGATAATGAATGAAAATTGGTAAACTTTGATATTTATAATATATTATTGGCGTGAACCGGTGAAACTTTAACACATTCATAGATGTTTTAAACATTCAAAATGATTGGCTTTAAAGAACTGTGATAATTACAAACAGAACTTCAATTTACCTGTCGAAATTTCATTGGTTTCTAGTTAGTAGTTACGTACTTATGATATGAACTTAGAAACAAATTATAAAGACTTGGGCCTCGGTTATATAAACAAGTATGACCACAGAAATATGAAAACAGATAGCTTACTCACTACGATAACAAAACAGTGTTCTGATTGGTAGCAAAAACATCAATGCAACCATTTGTATGAGCGCAGAAGTTGTTTTATTTCAATTTATTATTAAATGTGCCGTTACATATAAATATTATTGAATTCTGTCAAAAAATACGATTTTCTATTAACTTATTTTAAAACATATCGAATTAAGGTATTAAACCCATACCATTCATTTTGCATTATTTATTACCTTCTCATATTTAAAAATATCTAAATTAGTCATGAAAATTAAGTAATTTTCAATATTTTTTTGTAAATTATGAACTACTTGAATTCAGCCAAAGCAATTTTTAATTGTTTTTGTTTTAATACGAGTACAAATGAAGGGAAAATATAGCCCTGAAATTTATATTTTAGTAAACTCTTATATAATATTCGATTTTAAAATACACCAGTGTATATATAGCTAAAGTGTTTTACTATAATGTATATTTTTTATGTACCTATATAAATATTTAGATTTAACCTATTCAGGTTCGAATTTATATCTAGGTACCTAAAGATAAAACACCTTGTCTCAAAAATTGGTAGCAAACTGATAAGTGCACTTATTTTTTATTTGTATTTCTTACATGTAAAGATTTATTAGTACTCTTTAAGTAAATCAACGATTGTTCTAATTGTTAAAAGATAAAAAATAGTAATCATAATTAACAATTTACAAACAATATTGAAATTAATTAAAAGTTAATAAAGAGTTAAAAGAGACTTCAAATAAAATGATGTCCATTAATTTTTTTTATAATAAATCTTAAAATGCTTTATTTAGTTATTTTTATTTTAAAAGAATTTCTTCCAGGAAAGTATTTTCCCCGATGATATATTCCACATTAATATACTACGTCTGATACTTTTCCTAAAGAATTTCTCGGTAATATATTCTGACATCAGTTAATTTCGATATTATACTATCTCATATAATCTCATTCCTCGAAAGTACGTTTCTTAATTTTTTTGTTCCTATCAATATTTCTATACTGATAAATATTTTAGAAAAAAAAATCATTGTTATCTAATATATTCCTCATTTGTGCGCGACCAATAATTTTATCAATTATTAAAAAGTGATCGTAATGTGGTATTATTTGGATTAAATTACGAACTAAGATAATATGGACGGGACACAAGGCCTTATCCGATTTTGTTATATATTTCACGTACAAGGGTGAATTTTAAAGTAACAGTCCCAATAATTATTTTACGATTCTCAACTCAGTTTTTTAAAATTTTGTATTCTGAAAACATGTTTGTCACTATAGTTCATGATTGCCAAATATTCTTCTACGGAATTTTTATAATAAAACAGGACCGCACTCCCTGTTCCCGCCGACCATGACGTGCTGTTCGTTTTATCCTAGTTCGTGATAAAACGAACACTATACATTTATTATTCATTTTTATTTATCTCCAGAAATGGGGTCAACAATTGGAATGAAGACCCCCCTGAAAGGACCTAAAACGCAGTCTATGTATTTATAAGTCTATGGGTAAATATATCCACCTTGCCAATGTATATGTATTATAACTGATAATGTAGGATCAATGACATCTTATCTGTAATATCTAATATCTATATTTATTTATTTCATAGTTGATTGGAATTATTGTAAATAATTTTTACAATAATTCACAGTTCAAAAGTAAAGCAATACATTTAAATTCTCTTTTTCAAAATTAACGAGCGATTTTAGTAACAATAAATTTTTTAATAAATGTTTTGACAAAACAGACTGTATTTTTAAGATATTTATTATAATTTATTAGATTTTTTTGTCCATTAAAACTTACCTATCTTTTTGCATGACTTTTTTACACAACTATAACTACGATCAAATTATTATCTAGTTCATTTAAGTTAGCAAGTATCTGGTTAAGATTTCATTTAGTAGACTTATTTCATTGACTTAATATGGTTTAATTAGGTTGAATTCTTCTTAAATAGTTTTTATCATGGACTCTGAAAATGTGTGAGTATTATCTATTAATTACTACCTTAGTATCTCAAAAGTAAAAAATTATAGCTGTGTTATTTTATTATGTAATTAATTAAACATAAGTCATTCATATTTGAATGACTTGTGAATTCATTCACTAGTTATTCATTTTTGTATTACATTAATATTTTCTTTATTATAAAATATATGTTGCAAAAATTGGTTTTTAAGGAAGCTAAAATTTTAACTTAAAAAATAATCTATTGAATTTTTACATTGATTTTTTTAAAAAATATTTAACATTAACAATATTTAATACTTTTTTGAAAAAAAATGTTTAAAAATATTATTAAAATCAGTATTTAATTTAATTTGTATTGAGATAATGAATTAATTGGTTGTATGTTAACCTATTTATTAAAAATAACCTATATATTTTAGAATAAATTATTTTGTATTTTTACAAAAAGTTATAATAATATGCAATGTTTGAAATTTATCCTCATTTACTCGCCTTTATCCCAACTACTTAGGGATGATCGCTCTTATCCTAAATTTACACTTGACATAATTTCCCATATAAGTTGTCCTCATATAGCATTCAATAACATCCCTCAATTTTTTTTTTGGCCATCTTTCTTTAACATTCATTTCCATAACCGTTCTTACAGCTTCCGATTCCTCTCTCCTCATAACATGTCCAAACTATCTATTTTCTTTCATCTTATCTACGATTAACGCTATACCTATACTCCTTCTTATATGTGCGCTCCTTATCCTATCTTCTCTAGTCACTTCACTCATCCATCTAAGCATTATCATCTTTACTACATTGATTCTTTACTCTATTCTCTTGTCAACCACTCAAAACTCTGAACTACACATCATAGCTGGTCTTACTACAGTCTATAAAACTTACATTTCAGCCTCATTGGAATTTTCTTATTACATAACACCAGACGTTTCTCTCCATTTCATCCAACTCAACCCTTGTACAATTGCCATAATATATATATTCTATTACATTAATGTACCTTATTGGTTCAGTGAGAGCTGAGAAAAAGTTGTAACAGACAAAAAAAAAAACACATCATAGTAAAATTAATACCTTCTCAGCTTTGCATTGAAGCTAGAATGAAATTGAAATACCGTTAAATTTCTAGGAATGATTCTAAAAAGTAATTATTAGTCGATAAATCAAGAATTATATGTAACTAAAAGAAATCAAAAATTGTTTTTCTAATATTGTATTTATTTTGAGAGTAATCAAGTTGTTTATATTAAGTTTTGATTAAATAAAAAAATTCTATATTTTAGGTCTTATCGAGGTAAAAAGAAAAAAAAAATACCAGTAGATATTCAACATAAACAATGTGCAGAGTTTATAAAGCATTGTCATTTAAATTTAAGACTGAATTCATTGAAGATGGGTACAGAAGAAGCATGGGAAAGACATTGTGCAGACAAAAAACTTTTAAAAGTATTAATTTATTATAGAAAATATTTTGTTTTGCATTTATGATTAATTTTTTTATCTTTAATTTTTAGAATTACTCAAACACAATGCATCAACTTGCTTCAACATTTTGGGATATAAATAACAAAAACTTGATTACTACCTGCAGAATTACTTGGATTTCTAATTACACACTAAAATATTTTATTGATGATTTTTTGCAAGAATTAGAGCGGGAAAAATCTTTGGCTAAAAATTTTTGTATTGATTGGAATAGTGAAATTGGTTCTATTCCTATATCACCTTACACCCTATTAGATGTAGGAAGTTGTTACAACCCATTCCAAAACAATTTGTCTTTTAAAGTTTTTCCCATTGATATTGCCCCAGCAATTGCAAATGTTGTAAAGTGTGATTTTCTTTCAGTAAAGTTAGGACCAAAACTTATAATATCTCAGAACACATGTAATGAATTACCTTTATCTAAATTTGATATTGTTGTATTTTCATTCCTCTTAGAATATTTTCCTACTTCAAAACAAAGATATTTATGTTGTAAAAAGGCCTATGATGTTTTAAAATCAGGAGGTATATTAGTAATTGCTACACCTGATTCAAATCATGAATCCTACAATTCAAAATTAATGAAAAATTGGAAGTTTGCTTTGTCGAGTTTAGGATTTTGGCGTATTAAGTATGAAAAACTGACTCATATGCATTGTATGATTTTTAGAAAATGTAAAATAAAACAAATTCCATTGAGTTGGTTAAATTTGATGTGTAAAAATTCAAGTAATTTTGAAAATTTAATAACAATTCCTCAAGATTCTAAAAACAATTTAAATTTCAATAAAAGAGTTAAAACTACAGAAATTCGGCCTGATAATGAAGATATTGCTAGTTTATTTGATGAATTAGTACATATAAATGATAAATAATACTCGTTTGTTACCTAGTTGTTTCATAAAATTATTATATCTGTTGTGTATTAAAATAATTAAAATATTTAAAAGTATTTGTTACATGTTGATAAATTACTTATTCATTAAAAGAAAACTTTTTATTTATTATGTAATATTTAAAAAGAAGACTAAGATTTTAATGATTATTTAAATTATGCATGTATTTTTCAATTTTATCCACAGCTTCAAGGACTTTTAAGTCAATTGTCTATATTATATAGCTAGTTACAAAAATAAATGTAGCTAGTAGTATAATAGTAGTGTATAAACCGTAAAAATATCAAACTTAAAAAATAATATTTCTATCATTAATAGAAGTTTTTCTAGTGTTTCCCATTAATATTACTTTAACTAAAAAGTAAATGGCATTATAGTATTTCCTGCAAAATTGTATACATATTTTCTGGAACTTTCTATAATTTATGAAAAACAATCATACTGGTGAGTCCCAACAATTAAAATCGAAATATTATTCACAACATGTGGTGTAGTTTATTTTTAATTTCGGCCATTATGTAATGGGAAAATCAGGAAAAAGATACGCATTACTCTTGTTTTTGCATTTCGTGAAATAATTAAGTTTTTTTTAACAGAAAACAATTTAAATTTCCTAACATCACATTACACCTTGAAAATTAAAGAGTAAAAATTAAACTTTAATTTATTATTTAATTAATGAAAATCTAACAAGCGTAAGGTTAATATTAATATTTTGAACTTTGTGTAAAGTATTGTAATAAAAGGCAGTACATCCTACATGGACTATAAAATCATATATAAAAATAGAACATTTAAGCACTATTTAAAAATTCTTCGATAAGTAATTAAAAAATAATAGTAATTTCCACTAAAATTACATGGCTTTTAACTATTGATGTTGATTACTTGTAGAAGACAAGCCATTGGAACATTTTTCTATTTATAAAGTACATTAGATAAGTTTGAATTCTATTTAGTTTTGAGTGGTGTGGATATTTCTTTGTTTTGTAAAAATTCAAAATCAACAGTATTTACCGAAAATTGTATGATTTATGATTTTAATGACCAATAACTATTAAAAATCAGATAGTTTTTTAGCTTCGATGCGAAGCTCAAAAGGTATTAATTTTACTAGGATAAGTTTTTTTTTTTGTGTCACCACTTTTACTCAGCTCTCAGCGAACCGATTTATTTTAACGATACGTCAAAAGATCATAAATCGTATATAGTCGAAGACATTACCCTCAAAAATTGAAAAAATTTCCTTCGTTATACGTAAATGGGGGAAATCTCCAAAAAAATTACAAATTTAAAAATCGCTAATTTTCGATATTTTTAAAATTTTTTTACTTGAAACTGCCATATCATTTTTAAAAATAACCAAATCAATATATTTTTTTTTATAGATGCATGATGTCTTTATCTTTCATTTGGTACATTTGCCTACAGGGGGGATTTAAAATGACAACTTATTCACAAAAAATTAACTTTTTCAACTTAACCTTTGAAAGTGTTCCGGAATGTCTCACACTTTTATATCTTAAATTAAAGCTAATGTAATATACTTTATTAAGGAAAAAAAAAATTTTGGACTATTTTGTCTTCATGGTGAAAATGGCTAGCGAATGCTATTTTTGTATGAAAATTCTCGATTATGTATTTTATATTTTTAACTTTATTATGCTATAACTTGTTGAAAAATGTATGAATTAATAAAATTTTTTCATGAGAAGTAGTATTTATATACATCATTCATTCGACATACTTTATCTTAATCAGGATATAAATAAGGAAATAGTAGATCATGTAGCTTTTGTAATAATCCATCAATTTTGGTTTTTTTTTTTTAACTACATTGTATTAGTTTTAATTTAATATAGATTTTTTGGAACATAATCAAAAATTTTGATATGATTTTTAGCCTCTATAATGCCATAGTTAATAATTGAATTTTCGAAAACTTATATCGTCGCAAGGGAAACGTTTGAAGTTTTCACAATAAATCGTTAATTTTTCAAAAATTATACTATGAAGTATGCATGTTAAAAATTAAAATATAAACGATATTTTTTTTGTAGGGGGCACAATTAAACAAAAATGTGGCCTTGTCTGAAGTGAGATTTTATTGTTTTTCTCTGTAAGGAGGGTTACTACATAGTGTAAATACTTTCATTTACTATCATTCAATGATAACCTACATCACTCTTACCTAGCCTAGGATTGAGTGATTGGAATATTTTTAAATTTCTATTATCATACTCATTTTGTATCTCTTAATGTCATTGGTTTCGGACCTATAATATGAATTTCATTAATTAATTTGTTACGAGAGTCCTATAAAAATTCTTATTACTGATATTTTTTTGCAAAATTTAATTTAAAACAATGGTTAATTAATATTACTAGAATAAACAGGAATGTATTTATAAGAAATATTACATTGAAATACATATATTTCATTTTGATATAATTAGTCATTTACGTTTAATATACCACCGAGGACATATCTACTTGAGCTCGTCTCGTTGCCTATGATAAATCAATTGAAGTAAAGGGTAATTTTATTCAAAATTCTTTCCAGCTTTGAATAATGAGTCAATCTTCTGTGTCAGGAGCGTATTTAGAAACTTATAACAAGAGACACAAACAATTTTTTTTCATGGGTAGAGTACCATAAAATTTAGAAAACATTTTTTTTTAAATCTATTTTTAATAATTAAAAATAGACATATAATAAATAACGTTAAAAATATCAGTTTATCTTTCTACGCAATAAACACTTCAGAAAAATGTAATTAATGTATTTGTTAGTAATATATGATAACGGCTTTGGAACAACCCTACGTGACATTGAATTTTGTGTCACAAGAGAACTATGTCAAATAATACTTAATAAACATATGTTATCATCGATAACCAAAAAAAGTCAACATTTTTACATTTTAAATACATTATTATATTACTTGATAAAATATTAACATAGCTCATTCTAATTTGGGGGAAGAGTATGTGTCCCTATTTCCTTTCTTTAAATACATCATTGATTTAAGTAATATACACGCTTTTTAAAACTAATATATTTTTCGTTAACTCAATTTAACCTCGTTTTTCAAAATAATAGATTTAATGATGAATATTTTATTCTAAATACCTTTCAGCTTTGATGCGAAGCTGAGAAGGTATTAATTTTACTAGGGTGAGTTTTTTTTTTGTGTCTGTTACCACTTTTTTTCAGCTCTCACCGAACGGATTTTTTTCAATGATACGTCAAAAGATCACAAATCGTATCTAGTCGAAAACATTAATCTTAAAAATTGAAAAAATTTCCCTCGTTCTTCGTGAATGGGGGAAATCTCCAAAAAAATTACAAATTTAAAAATCTCTAATTTTCTACATTTTTTCAATTTTTAGCTTCGATGCGAAGCTAAGAAGGTATTGGTTTTACTATGATGTGTTTTTTTATATATACCTTAAGTTAAAACTTATGTAATATACTTTATTATAGAAAAAAAAAATTCAGACTTAAGTTTATTTTCATGGTGAAAACTAACATTAAAATTAACAAAAAAGTAAGATTTTTGTAAAAAAATTATTTTTTATATTTTAAATTTTTAACTATTTATATACCTCTTTTATTCAACATACTTTTTTTTTAAACAAAGCCATTTCCCTTTATATATATTATACTTATAAATCATAAAACATCATTCATTCGACATACTTTATCTTAATCAAGATATAAATAAGGAAATAGAAGATAATGTAGCTTTTAGAATAATCCACCATTTTTTTAAAATTAAACATTATCTACAGATTTGCATGGAAGCGTTTTTTACGATAGTGATTTTAATCAACTTGACCCAACTATGCCACGTCCTCACTGAGCGGGGTTTTTTTTGTCATGAATCAAGTGCTAATACAGAATTAATATATATCCGTTCCATTAGCTTCAAATGTTTCGGGTAGATTAAGACTGTTGACTAGTATTCTACACCATGTAAGACAATTTACTTCAGTAATATAAAGAATAATTATGTTTCCATTAATAATTGATGTCAGTATTATTAATCAATAGCATTAAGACTGATTGCTTAGTGGTTAGTTTTTGTAACAATATAGTATTTATTTGAAATTACTACAATTTATTACCACCCGCTATGATTGTATTACCAATATTGTGTTAATTTCTTTTGGATTAAAATATATATTATATTTCTTGAAATGTTATTGTTAGGAATAATAAGTAATACGATAAAAAAAGCGCAAGCGTGGTGCATCAGTTTGTGCCTTATAAAAACTTAAGGAAACCAACTGTCAAATCATTACGACTTGTTGCATCAACGAAGTTACACGGCGCAGAGATACTGTACAAAATCGTCATAATTAAACGTAAGTACTTATCTGATAAAAACATAAAACATGAAATATTACTTATATAAATAATATTTTTGTGATGGATATTCCAAAGTACTATCAGGAAAAATTCGTTTAAAAAGGCCACATGATATTAAATTAAAAAAAAAATTTTGTAAACCTAAATAAATTTAAAGTTTGGAAGGCATCTTTTTGTAGATATTAATAAAAAATTTCATGGCAACTGATGAGTGAAATTATAGAAACAAGCAGAGGTAAAATACATTTATATTTTATTTTACTTCCGCAAAAAAGGATAATGGAATTTTGAAAAAGAATACCAAAAATAAAATATTTTAATGAGTAAAACTGAAATAAATGTATATAATGATCTTTAGATGTATTTTCTCAAAAAATATGACTAATTACTTTTATGTATCACCAGCAATTTTTCAACCATATAACTGAAATTACACAATAGTATATCATATTATAATGACATTATATAGTGAAAGTCCTTTTGATGTAATTTTTGACTAAAAATGTTTAACAACTCTTTATTTTTAACATTTTTCAATTATATTCAATGAAATATTTAATAATACAATATATTTATCATTATTTTTATATATAGTGTATTTTCGAAATAGTGATTTAATTATCATTAAAAATGAAAATACAACATTATCAATAAACTAGTGATTTAAGGTTTTAAATAAAAAATATTGTATTTTTAAAATGATAAATTTTGTAATGTATTATAGTAAATCTATCAGAAGTGAAGGCAATTTTTTTTTTTTGCAAGAGAAAGGGCTAAAGAATTTTTTTTTTATTATTTTATAATAAAAAAAAATGTTAACTGTTTTTTATGCTCAAAATCCATTAAAAGTTTAAATAATTCAGTTGTCGTATAACCATCTACCTCCAATTGCTAATATTTACAGAACATAAACAATACGTTTAATTATGAATTTAAAAATGTATTGACTCATTAAAACTTTGAGTACAATCATTTTATTTCAATTTAGCGTCCTCTTTAAGTCCAATTCCAAAATGCCGAGGGAACGCTTTATTTTTGAGCACTGGAAAGTAGAAAGTTTACTAGGTAGGTACTTATGTATTCCTTTATAGATATAATTTTTTTTTACTAAGTAAGTATATTTGCCTATTATGGTGAATATCATTTGTAGCCTTTGAGGGAATACAATTCAGTGTGGTTCTGAAACCAATATATTCTCAGTTTCTTATTGAAGCTTATGAATGTTAGAAGCTTATTATAATTGCAAAAATGATTAATTTTAGATTGATAAACCTTCGTTCTAATTAATATTTTACTAACCGATAACTATGATCGAATATTATTATTTCTACAATAATAAAAAAAACTATAGAATTTAAAAGGATTTTTGAAGAAAATTTTGTTTTTTTTTGTAATAACTAATTGAGAATAAAAGATAAGAAAATTGACATTAAGACCGTCGATTTTTTTCTACCGATATAATTAATTTAAATGAAACACTATTTATTAAATATTACATTTAATGTATCTAACTTTAAGAAATAATGTATATACATATATTTATTATAAATTATTATGAATTAATAATGAATTATTATTTAGGATAAAATGGGGTATACTCTAAAGGGTTATCAGATAATAAAATTGTGACCTGTATACAGAGTGTTCATTAAGTAAGAAAACAAGTCAGTTATTAAAAACAATGAGAACAATAGAAAACCGTTTTATTACTTACTGAACACTCTATATATTGATGCAAACATTAAAATAGTATAAACGTATTTAAAATATTACAATAAAGCAATTAAAGAAATATTTATGAGAATTTGTATTACCGAACATTTTTTGATGAATTTTTATATGAGTCTATAATATAGTATTTTTATATATTCCTAGTAATAATTAATTATGTATGCTTTTAACTTTTGTTTTACTGTAGATTACATAATAGCGTAATAAGAACGCATTTTAAAAGCGTTATGATTATAGCGAATGACAATCGAACTAATGGTTATTTATCTGTAACACCGTTTTGTACAACATTTAAATAGTTCATGTCTTCTTTATCAAAAAGTTTTTAATATACTTTAAATCTGCTTTAATTGCATTTGATAATCTATAAATAAACCTTTGTGTTAATGTTTTATTTAAAAAGTCATTGTTAAAAGTATAACTTAAACAATACGATGAAACATTTTTTTCTTTTGTAAAGTATTAATAATAATTTATTATTAATACTTTACAAGAGTAAATTTATTATTAACAGTGGCGCAACTAGAGCAATAATCCAGGACGTACTAAGATTGTGTAAGAGTCACAAAGACATGGGGCAGAGTCCTACACATCTCCAATCCCCGACATTAATATAGATTGATATATAATGTATAGTAGCTGCATAAATGATGACAGTTTATATATAACTATATGACCGATCTAACGATCGTCTTTGCCCGGTCGCTTACTATTGAAATGTTTTATTATACTCAAAATAACAATTTTGTTTGCTACAATATAATCTAAGTATAGATATAATCTAAATATAAGAAAGTAATTCAAAATAAGAAAACAAACTGATAATAAATTTTTATAAATAAAATTATTTAGTTGAAACTATAGGATTTAAAATTTAGGAAAGATATTAGAGCCTGGGGGTGCTGAAACACCCCTACCCCTACCACCTCGTTACGACACTGATTATTAATAAACGTCTGAAAATTAGTTACTAATGCTATTAAAATTTGGGATTTGAATAATCTTCACTCATATGCCAAAAAATGTATTTTAGTAGTGTAATTTTTACAAATGTCACTTATTTAAATTTTTTTATCGAGTATATTTTTACAAAATATTTAAAAAGTCTACATAAAAAACATTATTGAACTATATCTTGTTATATTACATAGTGATAATAAAATAGATAATATCATAATTATTCATTAAATGTTAAGTTATAATCAGGCCTTAAGACAACGTAAATTTAATTATGCTATTAAAACTCAATTGGTTTTACCACGTGTACTATGTTCTTTAATTAGTTATACGACCTTTGACTTAGAAATTAAATTTTTTATATGTTCATTAAAATGGGAATAAGAGAATCATTTATGATAACTTAAGTTTCATAAGGATAAGTTTTTGTAAAACAAAATAACAGAATATTATTAATGATTTTTCGGTAAAATATAAGGTTTCTGCTAATATATTTTTGATATTGAAACTGCACAATTCATTGTTTAGGTTACTATGACTATAAATATATTACAATTCATTATTTTTCTGTTTCATTAAAATTTGTCCATACGAGTATTATTATTTTTATTTCGTATTTTTCTTTGAATATTATTTTTGAACAATAAATGGAAACTATTCAGTTTTGATTAGTCAAAAGAAAAATGAATAGTTTACAAAAAATTGTACAGTAATTGGGTTGTTTCCATCAGATTTTATAAAAAGAGAATACTTTATTAAAATAATTTATTAATTTTTTTTTCAATTGAATAAAGGAAACAGATGTAGTGTATTAAAAGTTGATAATAAAATATATCACCGATCTTTTGGATTGTTTAAAAAAATATATTCGTCAATAATTAATCACATAATTTTAATCTGACGGATTTTTTTATAATCGTTGTGTTTCTTAATAATAATTTTGAAGTGCGTCAGTCTATATAAACTTATGAAATAGTAATTTTACTGTAAATACAATTGTGAAACTATATTATGAATTCATTTTTTTAAACCATAAAAAGAGAATTAATTACATTTTTTATAATTACAAAATATTTTTCTTAAATTATTGATGACATATTTTTATTATCTAATTTTAATCAATGTAAACAAATAAATTCATTTTTTTAACTTTTTTATTGAGTTTAATAATTATTTAATTGATAACACACAGAAAATGTGTTAATTATTATGGCTCAAGAATTGTGATATTACAAAATTTGACTGATAATGCTTGCATATATCAAGAATGATTGACTGGTAAAACAAATATTTTATGGAGATTTCACAAAATTTAATTTTTAATTCATTTATAATGTAAGGTGGAGTGGATAGTCAGTAATCGAGAATAACTTAACAGATTTTAATATTTTATTTAGATTAGTTTATGAATACATAAAATTATAACTATTATCATGGGAGCTCATGTTTGGATATACCCCTGCTTTTTTTTCTTCATCAAACTTAAAAAATAGCGAGCCTTAAATGTAAGTGAATTTCATAACCCATGTACCCTGTATATTCAGTACACACGGTTTTTGTGAATATGATGTCGAAATTTGATGCTGGGACAGACCAACTCTTAATACTCCCTAGTACTTAAATCAAGACACTATATTGCGAATAACGAGGGTCTAGGATTAAAGAAATGTATTAACTTTTTAATCATCGGAAGAGCAAAGTTAAATTTTCAATTTCCATTTAATAATAAGAATAAAAAAATTATAATAAGATCATTTTCGTAGTATATTTTTAAAAATAGAGAAAATTAAATGTAATTAAACGTATTCTTCTTGTTTTGTAAAATTAGTAATTTTCAAATATTTATTTAAATATTTTATTAAGTTTTGAGCTCAATGATAACTTATTGGTATTTATACTTGGCAAACTATCTGTTAACGATTACACCAGACCACAGACCAAAAATATTTGTATATAATCAAAAATTTGATATTTTTTAAGAGTAGAGAACTAACTAGCCAGTGTACCCCCCCTCTAATTCGTGCCTATGCATCAGACTTAACTTTTTATTTTAAGTTTGTTGGTGTTTACCAACGTTTTGGTTCTTTACTCAAGGTAGAAATGATTATGATTATACTACGTTATAATTATGATTTATGGATTTATTAATCATAATAAAATTTAAATGATTGTAATAAAAATATTAAACAAAACTTCCTAAAACATTACAAAAATGAAATGAATTATTGTCTATCATAGACAATAATATTTTTAACTATCAAAGTTAAAAATAATTAAGCAGCTCAAAACTGAGATTATACATCTACCCTCATCTGATATGTTTCATTTGCTTTTACATCAGTTAAGTACCAAGTATTAGATAATAACTGTATCGAAAGTGAAATATTTGTTTTCGTATCTAATTTTTTTTACAAATTCGTGTAATCAATAATTTATATGTCCTGTTAATATCAAATATTTTGTGATTTATTCATTTTAATAACATCAAGCTATCCGTATACAAAATACCGACTGAATAGCGAAGATAAATTATTGAACAACGATTATAGGTTTTCTATCAATACCTTTTATATTATACAGAAATATTTACTATCGTTTAATGTGAAAGGTTATCTTTGAAATATTCGAGCCATTATAATAATGAATAGGGACACAAAATGTTTGTACTATATTATAACTAAATGCCTTATTACAATATATTTTTTAACCTAGTAGACTAATTTTAACTATAGTCTTTTCTTAGAATATATCGTATTTTATATACATTTTTTTTTTGACGTCTTTAAATTATATCATCATGTTACACTGATAATAGAATCTAGAATTTAAGTCTAAACTCTACTTCCTTTATCGACTGTATTCAGGCTGTTTGGCGCAAGCGACATTTTACAAAAAATGTTAAGATTCTTTTGATTTGATGTATCCGTTAGTTCCTTTCATGTGTTTAATAAAAACAATTTGTTATTAAAAATGTAGCTTACACCAAATGGCCTATAAACACTCTATATTTATCTTTATTTACTTTCTCACAACATATAATCATAAATTCAGTTAGTGCTTTTTATTAGACTTTGCATTTATAAAGGAAACATTTTTTTTACGAAGTAATACGTCGGCAAATACAAGGTAATTAAAAAATAAGGAAAAAAATTATTTGTTAAGAATAATAAGAACAATGGAAACCTTTACATACTTACTGAACACTATATAAAACTTAAATATGTATAATGAAATGATTGAACTCGAGATAGGTTGAAGTTATGAATGAATTTATTTTAAACTCATTAAAAATTAAAACATATCTAGTATTAATTTTGGTTATTCAAAATTCAAATGAATATTTTCTAACATACGAAATATTATTAATTAAACATAGGTGTTTTAGGCGCTATTTTATAATTTATTAATATTTCAAAATGAATAGATAGTTGTGTGTAAACTGCGCAATTATTTATTTTTTGTAAGTGTAATGTTCTGATAAAAATTTTAAATTGTCACGTATTAATAATTAAAAGTGTCTCTTTAAATATACAGTGGCACTCATACTTCCGAGTGATTTTATATTGAATAGTAGCTTGCTATACTTATAGCTATTAAACTTAATGATTATTATTACATTAATTATTTCTGATTACATCATGCTATTAAGTAATGATACTATATAAATATGTGTTACACTTTATAACATAAAATAAAAAAAAAAAATTATTTACAAACGTAATAATGATCCACAAATTTCATTCATATTAATTTATAATCTTTAATTGCTTATTTAAATTATATCGTATTGACGACATAAAAAAAATATACTAAAATATCAAGTTCGAAATGTTTTATTAATAAAAAAAAACAAACATTTAATATCTGATTGTTTTTATAAGTAGTGTCACTTGAAATATACGCAGAAATATATTTAATTACGTACTAATATAATACATAATACAATATAATATATTATCACTATATGATACCGTCTTATTACTATTTGTTTGTTTCTGAGGAACACAGTAATATTCCAAAGAGATAAATGATCTTTTCAAGCAGTGATATTAAAAAAATGAAAAGATCCATTTGCTTCTTATTGTAAAATAAATATTTAATGAAATCTTATAACTCTGTAAATATTTCCCAAAAGCTTGATTTGTCACTTTAAACAATTTTTCGGGAGAGTAAGAACAAATTAAACATTTTAATTTGCGTTGTCTTTGTATTATATGAATACTAGGACTATGAATTATATGCATTTGTAAATTTTGTTAAATTATTCAAGTCATATCAATCAGTACAAATTTTTGTTAGTTATTTTGAAAACATGCTAATGCGTTGTTATTAAGGTTATGATTTTGAATTAAAGAGGTTATCCCCCCGAAAAAAAAATGTATACGTTACTATATGTTACTATGACAAAGTAACACTAATTTTGCTGTACTTAGTTATTCTACACAAAGTTGCACTTCAAAATGAATAAAAAAAAAATGTATAAATGCATATTTCTTAGTCCTAATGATAACGTTAATTATCATAGATATCTCAGTAGTCATTAAATGTTTTTTGATATTATAGCGATATTTCATTTATCGTCAACGATTTAATAAAATAACATTATTTACTTATCAATTCATAAGTAAATAGAGTTTATATAGTTTACATTTTGTAAACTGTACATAATAATAAAATTGTAATTAATGGCTTTAAATACTGTAAAATACATTATCAATAGTGAAAAAAAAAACGTTAATTTATTTTTGCATTTGTTATATGTTATTTTTTTAAATATTTTTTCACGTAAATTGTACTCAAAATTATTTTTTACATTTATATTGCATTAATATTAAAAATAATTTTGAAAAATCTAATGATTTTCTTACGAACTTTAGCGTTAGTTTTCGGTAATTATTATTATAATAAAATTTTATTATAATGCTTATTTAACTTATTTAATTTCATGATAAACTTTTTAATACAGTTTAATGTTATGTGAAGATTAATAATAAATAATTTTTTATGTTTAATTAAATAAGTGGTATAGTCTTAAGTTCCCGAGCATAGTCTTGGGTGAGGGAGCAATAGGTTTAGCCCTCAGTTTACAATTTAGACCCTAGAAATGTAGTAAAATTATATGTAATACAGTCTAAAAATTATTTTTTACAAGAAAAAATTTAATTTAGCCTTCCTTAGAATTTGACAACTCTTTGTCTATGCCCCCGACACTAATAATTTTACATTATATAATATGTATTATAACACTAATACATATTACAAGTAAATTTTGAAAAAATATGGAATCCATCATGATGATTATTAAAATAGTGTTTTTTATATAAAATGAAATTTTTTTTTATTGATAAAAATTTTTTTAGTTATTGTTTTTCGTTTTCCATTTTTAACTATAAAGTTATAACTTAATTAATTTCTTATGAATTTAAGCCTTACATGAAAAAAACATCTTCCTCTACAAAAATTTAAAAAATCTCAAAAATACATTTTTGTGACTTATCAGATTTTAGATTTGAGTTAGATATAATAAATATTATTTAATTACAATTTTTCAACAAGCTAATATCTACTTTTTATTATATTATTATGGTAATATTAAATACAAATATTTGTTGTTTGTAAAATAAATATGTCTAATTTTGGTATTTATTTAATTTTATTATTATCTCTAATTTTAGCATTACTATATTAATATAGAATTATTACATTTTTAATGACGTTAAATTTAATCTTAATTTATTATTATTCAATAACTATTTTTTTAATTTTAATTTCTCATACATTATAAACTCATAAATATTATCAATATTAGCTAAAAGAAACGTATTGTTAGATTAAAAAAAATAATTAATTTTTTCATTCCTGAGTATCTTATTTATCTAAACCGGATTTTAAAAACTTGACCTCTGTAATAAAAATGAAAACATTCCATCTAGTTGCATTGGTTGATGCAATGTAATATAATTGTGAGATAATAGTCGTAGTATAAAACCCACGACTGGATCTCAGTGTGAATCATTCTCTTCCAAGCTAAAATACAACATTGTCACGATTTCCGATTAACTGGTACCTACCAAATTCCTGAAACATGTCTTATACTTCAAATAATACCCAATATCTTAAACCATTCCAAAGCAAAGTACTCCAACCCAATATCTCCTCGTTCGTACTTATTATAACTTAACAGTTTAGAACTAATTGTTCAACGTTACGTAAAATTATAGTTTTTTTATTTTGTTTAAAAAGTAATTAGTTTTTTAGTTTAATATATCGTGTAATAATTTTTTGTAAAAGTAATTGAAGTTGTTGTTTTTTTATCAATAATTGAATATTTAGACGGTTTTTTAAACTACATGATTATCAAAATGGGATTTTTGACAATACTACTTGGATTCTCTTGGCTAATGTCATTTATGAATATTGGATATACTGCAGTTTTACCTGTCAATCATATAATTGAGGTGAGTTAAACAATTTATTTCTTCTTTTGATGTTTTATCTAAGAATACAAAATTCTATCACTATGTATAAATATTATACTGTGTATAATATATTTTTGTGAACATACAACATACAACATATATATGTATATTTGTTAAATAATCAGTTAGCTAAAGTAGTAAAATTAGAATTAATAATTTAAAACACTTCCATTAGTTTATTTTGTTCTTATAAAAATAAGTTTTTTGTTAAACTGACTAAAACTACAGTGTTGAGTAGTAACTTAACTTGATTTATAAGTAGCAGTAATCACAGGGCTGTCCCAAAGATAAAAATATTGTTGAAGGGAAAAATAAAAAATTTATTTTTGCTAGTTACATAATTTTTTGGTATCATTTTCTTATATTAAAACATTTTCGACTAAAACGAATAAATTTTGTCAAGCAGGGTGGTGTGATATTATCTTATACCACTTTTCAGGGTAAGTAATGAAATTAATTATAAAGTAATTTTATTTTAATTCAATTAATTATTTAGAGGTAATTTTGAAAAGTTATTCATTACTTTATTTTGATCAATTTATTTAAAAAGTTTATACTGCCCTTTACTGGTTTATCTAGAATTGTATACTGAAGAGTTAAATATAAAGAACGGTAGCACAGTGGGGTCGTAGCATAGTTAGCATAAGTATAGATGATATATGGACACTATTTAAATTCACCATCATAAGAAACGCTTCGAAGCAAATCTGCAGATAGTGTTTAATTTAAGAAATTGGTGGATTATTCCAAAAGCAACGAGAATAATATCTTTAGCTAGACACTAGTTGTAATCATTTGATGCATTTTTTCAATGAGTGAGGGCTGAGAAAAAAGAATGACAGACACAAAAAAAATAAAGCATATAGTAAAATATTTTTATATGAATAAGAAATTCCTTTTCACAAAAGAAGACTGTAGTGGCAGTGCCCTTGATATTCATTGAAGTCATAAAATCTAAATGAGATAAAAATCAAACGAACTCTGAATTTTTATATCCCCTGTGGGCATGTTAGTGTCAGATTAAAAAAAATATCAAATGACAGAAAATGCCTAAAGTTTCAATATAAATTATTTTGATATGTTTATTTTAAAAAAAGTTGTGGCAGTTTTAAGTGTTAAAATATTAACACGTTAAACAGTGATTTTTACATAAAAATTACATTTTTTGTTAAAATCGGCGGCCATTTACCTATAAAAAAAAAATGTATCAGGACAATTTTTTTTTTTGATCTTATAGTACATAATGTTAGCTTTATTTTACAATATATTTAAAGCTCATAGTATTTCCGGAACATTTTTAAAACTTAAGTTGAAAAAGTTAAATAATTGTGCAGAAGTTGCTATTTTGAATCCCCCCTGAGGACAGGTTAAGGGTCAAATTTTCAAAAAATTCATGTCAAATGAAAGAAAAATACCTATGGTTTCAATATTTAAAAAAATTATTTTGATTTGTTCACTTTTAAAAAAGTTATAACAGTTTAAAAATGTCGAAATTTACCGATTTTAAAAATAATAATTTTTTTATGGATTTCTCCCATTTACAGAGAACAAGGTGACTTTTTTTAATTTTTAAGGGTAATGTCTTCAACTAGATACGATTTGTGATCTTTGACATATCATTGAAAGAAATTGGTTTAGTGAAAGCTGAGAAAAAGTGACGACAGCACATAAAAAAAAAAAATGCATTATAGTAAAATTAATACCTTTTCAGCTTCGATGCGAATCTGAAAAATATTCTTACAACGTTCTCATTGTATAAAAATTAAGGTGTTTTTTCTATGAAAGAAGGCTTAATCCTGAAATTCCCCATAAATATGCCTAAATATAAAGACTCAAATAATTAAATTAAATTTTGTTTTAATTTTATATTGAATCCCCACCTTTATTTTAAATTTCTAAATATGTCCTTTAGTGAAATCTTATTAAAATTACTGTTAGTGATTAGATCAAATAAATTGTACATTTTACATATAAATGAAAATAAGTAATTTAACTTTATTGTTACATCAAGTAATTATTAAGCCGTTTAACTCTTAAACTATTGAGTATTTTGTAATTTGATTTAATTTCCAAAAAAAAGTAATTTTTCCAACACTATAATACTGTAATATTTTCAAATGTCATATATGTATTTGAAAATACACTATCCATAAATAAAATTCTCAAATTGTTAATGATTTAAAATTCAAAGAACTTTTGTAATATTTTAATTGAGGAAATAAACAAACATTTATCACTTAAAAATATATATTTGACAGTACATAATATAAATTCATAATTTATTTAAAATTTAATGATATTTATGTCCAATCAATAGGTATTAAGTTAAATATCCGAGTTCTCAAGATACTATCAACTTTAAATTTTTGTATCATATTGTACATTATTGTATAAAAAACATAATTTTAATCTAGTCAATATATATTCTACTTTAATGATTTTTACATCACCTAAAAAAAATCTGACTTTTTTTAAAATAATATATATATAAAAGGGCTGACTAACAAAAATATTACAGAGTCAATACGAAATGTTTAAACTTAATAAAAGTTGAATTATATAATTATGATAATTATAATATAATATTATTATTATATATATTGTTTATTGAAGAATAACATGATCTTAGAAATCTTCACTTATTAAAAAGTCTAGAATCAATATCCACGTTCTTGTAGTATAATCAAAGTGGTTGTATATTTATTGTGCCTTGTGTAGTATGAAACATAATCAAAATTTGGTCATAATAGTATCAATTAAAATATATATATTCTGTTAGTCTATTATATTTTCTGAAGGGCTGTAGCATTTTAAATTTCTTTAGATAGAGAGGAAGTTTTAGTCGTGAAGACTTGAACGCCCTTTCCCAAAAACACTTATAGCACAATTTTGCTTGAAATTATTTTCTTAAATTTTTTAAAAATTTCTTTTAATTTCTTAAAATGTATTTAATGATTCTGTAAAAATAAATTTTTATCTTTTCTAAAAATTTCATATAAAACCAATTTTCTATATTAAAGCTATAGAAAATCAATATTACCTTAGATCAAGTTACATTTTATTTTAATTCATTAAACTTAACAAAGTCTAATTAAGCTAATAAAATAGAAATGCTTAATTGGGAAACATAAGTTGACTATTATGGAAATAAAAATTATTTTCTTCTTAACTTTTTGTTCTTTGATTAATGAGCGAAAGAGCTATAAATTATATGAAATCTTCTCAGCTATAATCAGACTTATGTATTTTTAACCTAATTAAAATATAAATTGCATTAAGTTAATATAACAACATTTTTATTTCTTTTAGAACTCATTGGACGAACCTTCATTTAATGGTAAGTTTATTGTATATAATCATATCCTCTATATTTTATGTCTTTTATCCGTGTAAGGGCATTCATTAATTTAGCAATGCTTTCGTATCTTCTAATAAAACTTCACATACCTATTTTCTTATGTATATTACTAAACCGAGTAAAAATCTTTAAAATTAAAATTAAATGAAAATGGGGTAAAAATTGAAGGAATCAACACGTATAATAAAATATTTATTGTTTGACTATCAATATATTTTATTGTTATAATTAAGTTTTGTTAGTAATGTTTTTATTATTTAAAGTTAATTTTTTTTTTAAATTTGTTATTAATATTTTTATATTAGGTAACGAAAAAGGCAAAGGAAATTTTGAGCACAAAGACTGGGTAATGGTAAAAGAAATGCCACCTAATATTATAAGAGCATCTCCTGGTCAAAGGGTCGAACTTGAATGTACAGTTTTTGGTAGTCCGGTTCCTCAAGCACAATGGAACCGAGGAATTCAGCTTAACCAGGTAATTTGTGCTGTGTAGTATTAAATATTGAACCACTAGTAATAAAAATTGCTTTTCATTTGTAATAGTTTGTTAAGTCTTTCATAACACGAGATTTTATTTAAGTTATAATAAAATACTATAAATTTTATCATTAAGATAACAATAGGACCAAACGAATTCGAAAGTTCAGGGGAATATCAAGGTGCTGGCAAAGTTACTGTGAGACATGTTATTGACTGTATTCAGCCACATCATCAAGGAGTTTACACTTGTACAGGTCAAGCAAGAGAACAATCAATAGCTAGTGATCCAGTGTCAATTATTGTTGAAGGTATATTTAAAAATACTTAAATTAATCAGTTATTTGCTAGTGAAGTATGTTTTAATTTAATTAAACCCAACATTGTTAAATTTAGCTAAACTAACTTAGTCCAAGTGGCACAATGTTATCATCATCAGCGCTAAACACGCATTGACACTCAATTAATTTCAATTAATTAAATAAAAATAATTTAATTGATTGGGATCTTGATCCACTACAAAATTCATTATTTAACTTGTGTAAACTGGCAAAATGTGACATTCGACTAGGTGAAAAGATCACATGTGATAACGTCACTAAGGGTATATAAAAAAGTATCTTAGGGTCGGGGTGCCAGTAGATCGGTTTCAAGACCCCAATTAATTAAATTATTTTTATTTAATTAATTGAGACTAATTGTTTTATATTGTTCTCCAGATACGTATACACGATTTTGGTAATTTTTAAAAACAATTATCATATTTTTCTTTATATAAATAATACATTTTAATATATAATATCATCATACAAATTTAACGATTGGGTCATATTAACTCAATCATCATTAACTTGTTTTCAGAAAAATTTAAACAATATCTTTATAACATGTTGACTATTTTTGGTCTATCATCTACAAATATTATATATTTTTTGAAGTTATATTCTTTATTTTGATGGATTTATTTAAAACTAATAATTAATGAAATATTTGGTATAATTATAAGTTACATGTTAATTAATATTGTTGTACGTCAAATTTTTTTTCAGAGAATAATAATTATTATTTTATGTAAAAAAAATTTGTAAGTTTATCTGATTATAATCAGATGAACTTAGAATTTTAATATTAAATTAATTTTCCTTTTATTTAATGAACTGTGTGATCTTTTACTTAGTAAATAGCTTAAACATTGTTTGTAATATTTATTTAAATTTATATAATAGGCGTAAATAATAAATAATGAATTTTTTTTTCAAATGGATGACGCAATTTTTGATTGAATCGTGAAATAATTAAAATAAAAGTGACATACCAGAAATAAGTAGTAAATAAACTTAAACTTAATTTCATAAATTTTTTAGTATGCTATTAAATGTATTTATTTAAGAATTTTGTGTAAAATAAATGTTACTGATAACATTAAGTATCATTTTATGAAGTTGTATATCAATAAGTGCTTAGTCACGTGAACAGTTAAGTAATTTCAAGGTTATGAAAAATTTTCTAACTATCCTCTTTTTTTCTGATTTATTTCTTACTTTGTTATTCTGATAGAGATAACTCAGCTGAGAAGGGGCTGCGCACTTAAGTAAAATAGCGTATTCATTTATTGCCAAAATGATTCCATGTAAAAAAAATTGGTTGAAGATTCTAATAAGATTTCGAATTGTCTTTGCCATATCTTGGCTAATACAATAAAAATAAATTGCATAATTTTAAGTTATACTTGAATAAATGTGTATTTTGAACTAATTATCTCCTATTACCTATTACAATATTACACTACATAAAATTAAAAAAAACGGATGGCGAGTTTGAAAGTCGCGTATATTTTAATATCCAATTACAATATTGTTCATTATACTGTTATTTTATTACATAATTGGTGCAATGAATATTCTGAAAAAGGTAATATTGTTCTGTAAGGAACTACCGTTTCTGCAAGACAACCACTCCTTGGATAAAAAAAGATAAATATTGTATCATTTGTATAATTTGTATTTCCTAGATAGTAACAGGTTGTTATAGAATTATCACATATAAACATTATTTCATCAGTAAAGCCTAAAACTTTGATATATAATGACGAACGGAAGAAAACGTTTTTTTTTGTAGAAGTTATGTTTGCTTATGTTTCAACATTTATGTTTAAAATATAGTACAGCAGTTTGTAAAATAAATATGTAATTATTTTTCAATTATTATAATGTTTTTTTTTTAATTACAATAAGGTATTCTGACATATATGCAATCTAACTAATAAGCTGTTAATGTATCAAATTCAAATTTAAGTTTGATACAGTTTAAAAAAAAAATTACTTATAAATTAATTTTGGGAATATTATATCTCCATGTCAACTCTGCGGTACCTTGCAAAATATTATATTTTATTGTTATTGACTTTTTAAATATAATTTCAATTTGTTTTGTTTTAGGTAGAGGTAGTCAATGCGCTTCAGAAAAAACTTCTAGAGTAACTAAATGGAGTCCCGTATTAATGCAAATGATGGGAACGACTGTTATGATACCTTGCTCGGTTAGTGCTTCTACACCATACAGACATTACTGGATGGACAATTATAACAGAGTTATTAATTTCGACGTTGACCCAAGACATAAAGTAAGTATTTTTAATACCTAATGTCAATTAATATCTTTTAAATTTAATGGAACTTTCAATTTTTTTACACAGTTGGGACCAGAAGGAGAGTTAATATTAAACGAACTCAGTTGGTCTGATATGGGTGAATATACTTGCATTGTAGAAAATTCTATCAGTAGAGATTCTGCGTCGACATTCCTTTATCCTATGTTACCAAATGATGTGTAAATGTAAATGAGTTGCAATACACTCTTATAAATTAAAATACTTTAAAGATCAATTGTATAAATTAAAAATCATCTCATAATATAAAAAATGTTTAATAATATTTTAGTGCTTTTCAATTATTAGCTACATCAAAAATGAGTATAATCTAGTAGTCGACTATTGTAGTAGAGTTCATTAGTTGTAAAAATTATAATTATTAAAATTGCGTTTTAAATTTATGTCCTCTTGTACTATTAATTTATTTTCTATAATGTCCAAAGCCACTAAGTATTTATTAATATTTTAAATCGCAAGTGCAAATATTATTAGCTGACACATTTGCACAATGAATTAGTATTATTTTATGTATGGTAACATAAATTACTTATTTACTGTTATTTATCATTATAACTATTATTATTATTTTGCTGTATTATTTTATTTTACCTAAATATTTCAGTCTACAATTTTAAGTCTTATTTTTATTTTTAGTTGATATTTTGATTATTTGAAAACTGTATTTTTTATTCAAACATTTTTAATTTCAAGTAGTGTATGATATAGAAAATTAAAATATTAAAACTATTTTTTTTTCATGATAGTAACTTAAGCATTGAAACTTAAACAATTTTGAATGCACGGTTTTCTGATTATTATTATTAAAACATATTATAATTATATAATAATATACTAATTTTTTAAGGGTTATAATTGATTTATAAAAATGTTAAAACAATCCATTTTAATTGTAAAAACTTGTTAAATCGTAAGATAAAGCCGACTCAAAATAGTTGGGATAGAGGATAGCTGAGGAGATCATAATGATGATATCAGTAAAAAGTAAAAATATAATGACCTTTTTTTTTATTTGCGTGAGAATGTTTATTGAAGGAGCTTTGCTGAATATACATCCCTGTGACTTAGTATGTTTTAATCCGGCTCTGTTTGATATAGGTAAACAATATGAAAATCCTTTAATTTTGTCATTGTATGGGTGTTATATATACAATGACATAATTAAGACAAAATATTTGTGGTCGCAAAGTTGTTTAATTTAACTGAGATGCGTTCATCGGTTACCTTCTCTGATCTATGTTAGATTCATATTTTATGATTCAAGAAATAAAATGTAAATAAGGTCTTGATTTTTATAATAATGTCTACAAGCAAGTTTATTTTAAAAGACAAATTTGACTTATAATGACACTACAAGAAATGATCCCGAAATTTTCATATATCAGTATGATATATTTTATATACATGTTAGAATTATACGCAAGTAGTGTAATTTTGCCATGAAGTATTAAAAATTTGTTCACAAATATAACATTTTTATTACTATTTGTCTAAATTTTCCCTTACAAAGCATGCGTTAAAAACTTCCATTAAATATATAAGAAAATTCAAACATTTTTTTTAAGATGTTTTTGTGGATGCACAAAAAATATAAATAATTATGAAAATTTATCTATATTCTTTATAAAAATTATATGTTGAAACATACATAAATGTAAATATAGGGGCATTCATTTAATGCATTCTATTTTGAACAAAAATTCATTGTTGAATACATAATAAAATTGAAGTCATTGATATTTTAAGGGACCGCAACTGACATCCTGTAATTATGGTTAAGTGCATAAAGGTATACAGGGTGATTTTTTTATCATAACCCACTCAATTACTTACAGAAAAATAATAATTAAAATTTTTTTTTTATTATTATCTTTAGTTACGCATTATTCTTGAATTATTAACTATGTAATACTTTTTAAGTTCATCCCATATGCTTGGTAAGGGTGTCAACTTTGTTTTTTTAAATGGTAACACATATTTTTAATTTAATAAAATGTTTGAGTTTTTAATTCAATAATAAATGGCATTTGAATTTTTATTAAAACTTAATTTGTTTATTAGATATAAACATTTAAAGTTTCAAATTTTTGAGTTAATATATAGGTATAATACACAAGGGATTACAAATACAGGTAGCTAATTGGTTTTTTATGATATTGCTATCACATTCACGGATTGTTTATTATCAATTATGACTATCAATAGATATACTTTTTGTATTGTCAGTTAGTGTATTTATAAACTCACAACAATGTACCTTACTATCATTGATAATAACAATGCTGTGTACCTGCTAATATCGATGTCATAAAAAATCAATTAGCTACCTGTATTTGTAATCCCTTGTGTATTATACCTATATATTAACTCAAAAATTTGAAACTTTAAATGTTTATATCTAATAAACAAATTAAGTTTTAATAAAAATTCAAATGCCATTTATTATTGAATTAAAAACTCAAACATTTTATTAAATTAAAAATATGTGTTACCATTTAAAAAAACAAAGTTGACACCCTTACCAAGCATATGGGATGAACTTAAAAAGTATTACATAGTTAATAATTCAAGAATAATGCGTAATTAAAGATAATAATAAAAAAAAAAATTTTAATTATTATTTTTCTGTAAGTAATTGAGTGGTTTATGATAAAAAAATCACTCTGTATATTTAAAAAAAATTTCTGTAATAATTAAAATTTTTAATTAACTCTCCAAGGAATTTATCATTTAATATGTTTAATTATCGAATATTTAGTTATTAAAAGAATTTTCTAGCAGTTATTATTTTGGTCAAAGTAGTTGGTTTTTTTCGCATAAATTATAATAACCTGATTTTTCGCTGGTATGGATATAATTTGTTAGATTAATAAAATTATTTCCAAAAAACTACATTGAACAACCCATTCTATTTTTTTATGATATATTTAGTATAATTTTAACATTTTACTATTATAAAAATGTATAAATAAATAGTTTTTTTTAATCAATAAGGAAAGTAAAAAAAAATTGTATATGTATGCTATAACTTGCATAACGGGTTTTCCAAGGTACAGAAATTTCATTCCCCTTTGTATATCACAATATTTTTCTCAGTTTCGTACAGTTTAATTTCGTATAATAAGTCGTGATTATTCATGATTTTCTTTAAATTGTTCCATATATAAACAGCTACATTCTCTGTTGTACTAACAATGTCTTTAAAATAAGGCACATCTTTGTCTAAATTTTTATGATCCAGAGGTTCCATTACTGCAATATTTATATAGTTTTTCAAATCGGCGATATTCATTACCATTCCAGTTTTTTCATCTATTGGACCTTTTACGGTTACTTCAACTTAAAAAGTAAAAAATAAAGGTTATTTTACACACAATTTATTTAATAAAGAACTTTTATGTTAAATCCTGTATATATTGTATTCTGGTTATATACAATCATTAAAGTACAAATATATTCAGAGTGATTCTATAGATTGCTCTACTCTATCTATGTTTCACGCAATATCTTTAAAAGTATAAGTTAAAATATAAATTTATCTTTCTAGAACTTATTGCTATCCTAAATGTTTTAATTAACACAAAAAAATATAATTTTATCCCATCTTCTTTCTCCTAATGCTGTAACAGAATTAAGTTTTCAAACGGAAAAAATACATATTTAAGTTGCTTAAAAATAATAAAATAATTTAAATAAGGAAATAACTAGTCTATAATAACTTTTGAACCACTATTTTGAAAGTTATTAACACTTCAATATAAAAGTGAAGCATGAGTTATTTATTTTTATCTCTAAGCATTTTTGAACCGCTCATTTCCGACAATGGCTAATTTTAAGGTAGGGGTGATAGGGATAATCGTCTCCTGAGATTTATTTATTTTTACGTTTATATTTTTTGAAGGAAGGGGTTAATCTACCATTATATTCCTCCCTCCCTAGGTGAATTATCAAATATACCTCTGCCTCCTGTCACGACGTAAAAATACTTACATTTTTTTAAATATTAGTTCAAAAGTTATTATAAAGCTTTTTCTTAGTTAGATTATTTTTTTATTTTTAAGTTACTTAAAGATGTATATTACCATAAAACTAAAGCTGACACTATTTTAAGGAGAAAGAAGTGAGAACTATATATTTTTTGTTTTAATGTAAATGTGTAAAATAATTATAACTTTTGAAAGGAAAAAAATATTCTATCTTATAATTTTGAAGATGTAGCATGAGCGAATTGCCTTGTAAATTAAAATTTTAATTGATATTTGAATAATTGATTACTAATATAATTATAGTTTGTTTTTAGTATTTTCTTTAGGATGAAGTAGTGAAAGGACAAATACATATTTTGTTATAAACATTATTATTATAATAATTAATACAATTAAATAATTGATTTTGTATATATTTACAAACGAGAAATTTGACTCTTTTATTAGGATGTGAGAAATAAAACCAATGACGTTTTTAGGTTTTCTTGAATAAAGCAGTTATAGAATAGTTACTTTGTTTTACTTAGATATATATAATCTTATAGGTCTCCCCTAAAAATATTATCGTTGGTTTCAAAAAATACCTTGAACTCGAATAGATGTATAATATATCTCATGTATTTTGATTATCCAACTTACACTTGTTTTATTTTTAACAACTATTTGACAATTAAAATAGTTAACTAAAGATTTAAATGTATACAGTAATCAAATATTATAATTTATAAAATGAATTATATAATAACAATAATAATAAACAGTATACTTAGTAAACGTTTCACTGGTTAATTTGATAAAAATTTAATACTAAGAGCTCAATGTGTAAACGTGAAATTTTGGAAAAAAAAATAATATAAGCCCAAAGCTTAAAAGTATAATAGATCAATTCATTCTTTTGATTGATAAAATAATCTCGATAATTTTTTTTTAAATCAAAGTACTATATTTAATCAATTCCATAAACCAACTGCACTGAAAATGTAACATTTTATATTTTTTAAATTAATTTTTTGTCAATTTGGATTCTTCAGTTTTATGTGTCTTAAATTTAGATTTTGTGGACCACTCGACAAAAAAACACTAAGATCTTATTTTACAACGTATTGAACTTCAAATAATTGAAACGAAAGACTGCAAATATTTTTATTTATGTCTACTTTATGAAAGTTAAACTCGACTTTTATCGAGGTAATTGTATATACGAATATTATTTACCTTTATAGTTATGTCCATGTCCATTTTTATTGTTGCATTTACCAAATATTTTCAAATTATCTTCATCACTTAATTGATTACTATATAAACAAATCGCCATTTTAATATCGGTAAAATATTTACAATTACAGTTTTAATGAAAACATTAATAATGTTATTGTTAATATAAAAATATTACACAATATCTAAGTTATTAAAGTATATTTTGGTAGTTCTAATTTAACAACTAGGAAAAACAAATTTAATATTTAATAATGTACTAATTATTTTTTTGAAGAACAAGGAATTTGATGATAAAGTATATGTTTATTAGTTAATCAAATTTAAAATGAACAAACACAATTTTAGACTTTTGTATTATAATAAGTGTACCAACCATTAGTTTTATGGTAAAGTAAACTTGATATGATTAAGCATTTAGATTTTTCATTTTCAAGATAGAAAGTTTTAATTGAGTTAACTTATAAAATGTTTTTATAACTTTTGCGCAATATATAATTATAATATAATATGATTAAAAGACGTTATGTAATAAGTTGATTGCTACATTTTTTTGTTGTAAATATTTATTAAATATTTTTTGGTTTATTTTATTCGTTTTACGTATTTTCAATGTAAGACAAAATATAATTTAATTAAATGTTATTTAATATTACTGTAGACATACTTTCTCTTTCAATTTAAACATAAAGTTAGTAAATGTTAAACTATACGAATAAAATTTTGAATATTTGTACAGTACATTAAATAATTTTTCCTAATTTAAACATTTTTATTTTAACAATCAAAAATCCTACCTGTGGAGTCTATGACAAGAGCTGAATTGTTCAACGCGTGTGATAAAGGCTGAAGGCATGATGGCTATTGTTGAAATTTCGAAGAGAGTCAGCAGTTTGACTTACATAATCGATACAACACACATTTATGAGACTACACTGCTCTCTGGTTTTTCATTTACAGAATTACATAGAAAAGAAATGTGACGAATGACTCGCAACGATTTCGCATATCTATAGTATAATAATAATAATATATTTATAGTATAATGTTAATTGTAGTATTTTTTTCTTAAAAATATTGTTATTTTCTGCTGTCTAAATTAATCTACTGGATATTATCCAGTTTAAGTAAATAATAGTTAGAAGGTCGTATGATTTTTTAAGAAAATTTTACAATAATTTTAGGAAGTAAAAAGTTAATAAATAATGAAAATGTATTTCATTGAATCTATTTTAAGTATTTTATGAATATTAACAAGTTATATTAGATATTATTAGTACTTAAATTCATTGTTTGCTCAAATTTTATCCGTTTGATCAAATTAGTATTTTTTAACCTCCGTATGAACTATTAAACGTATATTATACACTGAAAAAAATATAAGCCAACATTTCTTTTTATGTTAAATCAATAATAGTTTTATTACTTATACGAAACATTTATCTGCTTGATAAATTTTCTATTATCCTAACAAATGTTTTCCCAACAAAAAATTGTCGACTGTATATTCACATTACATTTGTTGATTTTACTAAGGTTTTTTTAGTGTAACTTGCATTTTATTATAGATAAATAATTAAATTAAAACTAAAATGAAGCACTAAGTGTTTATATATTCCACTTTTACATTTTTTATGAACCTTTGGTACCTAAGTTTTAATTAAAATATTTACATATTTTTCATTAAACTATAAAAATGCAGTTATGTGTGATGCCAGGAAACATACCAGCTATAAAAATTGTTATAATAATATATGAATTGAACTTTTATGGAAAATATTTATAAGTAAATACTAATGAACAAAAGTATTTGCTTATGTTATGTAAATTGAATCCTTACAAAAGTAAATAATTGGTCATTAATAAATACTTGTCTAGTATAACTTTCAAGTATGTGTGTAATATGATCATAACATATTTAAGTAATATAAGAACTATTTATTAATTTTTCATTTTATGGCTTTATTGATTCATTTTTAAGTACTCTACGTAAAAGATATTTTTAGAGGATGACTTTTTTTTGCTGAATATTTAAATTTTTTTTCAAATAAATTCTATAGTATATGCAAGATTAATTGGTTCTTTTATTTAAAAAAAAAATCACAACAAGCACAAGTTTTTGCTAAAAGATTGAGAATACTTATTTTTTTATTTCCCTATCACAATTGAAATGTTAAATTTATTAAACATTTTTAAATAGTTGTTTAAATTATTTTACCTAATTAATTACCTATTTAAAACATCAAGATTATTAATCATAACGTCTTTCATTTCATCAATGAAGATTTATGATTTTTATATTCATAAAATAACAATTCTTTTGAAAAACTAAGATATTTAAATAATTTGTTAATTAATATTATAAATAGATTGAATAACAATGTCCATCATCATTATCTATTAAATGTAATGCTTTATCATTGAAGCCTTTCCTCTCTGTTTAACGCCAAATTCTTTAATGAAACAAAAGACGCATAGTTCATGAGTTACAGGATATTTTCAAAAAATCCTTACCAGTTATTTTTCCTTCAGAGATGTTGATTATGAAGTCATTGTGTCGGGTGATGTAATCGATTAACTTTATTTTTCTTGATTCACAAATGTTTATAGTAAGATATTTTTATTAGCACAAATCACAATATTCTTATTAAGGTCAATTCTCATTCCCGACATTTTTATTATGAATAAGATTAATTATTTCAGTTCATTGACAGATATAGACGAATATAAATAAATATTTATTATATTTTTAATTAAAACACAATATGAAATAGACAGTACAGTTCAACAACAATAACAAAAAATAAATAGTTAGTCAATAAGGTAATATAACAAAATTGTGTTATGTCAAATTATAATATTTTATATACAAAAATATTAAATATTATGTCTATACTACCGTAAAGGTACTATAAACATTAAATATTTATATCGACTAGATAGACAACGTCTTAAATTCTCATTGGCCGTTAGTAAATAGCACATAATTCCGAATTAAAATATAATTGATAGCTAAATCTATTTGCAATTCATATTTTCCAATTAAAATTGTTTAAATGTTTACATTTGATTGCTTCAAAATAGTTTTGTACTTTTTATAATTTAAAACATTTAATTGATAATATGTGCTATTTAGGCGGAAGTAACGTTATATTTAAATTTACATAAATAAATTAGTTATATACAAGATTTACATTATTATACACATAATACAATATTAAAATATAAAGTCGACTTTATCTACATCCACATTCTTCTACTGCCATTTCAGGGTAATTTTTCACAACCAATTTACCTTCGTCATCCACATACAGTAACGTCTGTGGTCTTAATTTAGTTGGTACGCAACAAGCTCGTGGTACGGCCACTGGGTTAATAGAATTCATTAGAGTCTGCATGACAGCGTGGTTTGAAGCGTTCATGTGATTGGCTAATGGAAAAGTACATTCGCCATGACAATAGTAAGCATCATATCCTTGAGGTGCTTGAATCCAGTCGCTGAATCCGACTTCTTTAAAATCGACATATAGTGGATACCTTTGACATATCTTCTTCTTAGATTTTTTTAAATTTGGCTCATCATGAGCTGCTCTCTTGTATCTTAACTTTGATAGAGTTCTTTCCTTATCTAAAAACAAAAAAATGTTAGAAACGAGTTTACTTTATGGCGTGTTTTCATATATCATTTATATAAATGATTATACAACCAGAAGACGATATTAAACATTGAACTTACTTGTTCCGTCATCTGTATACAACATAAGTATGGGTTTGTCGGTTGATTGAAAATCGAACATATCATTAAGCGGTACTCTACCGACAGACGTCACACACTGTATTAGTATGCCATGATTGTTTTCAAATTTTTCTTCTGCTAGCCTCTCTAAAGCTGGTGTTACATCGAAGCTGATGTATTCTGATGGCGAAACGTCAGTCATGTTTATTGATTTTGAATCCATAAGTCTAAAATGGAAAATGATTATAATAAACAGTATATATTAAATATAATTTTAAATGATAATGAACATTTAAAGGATAGAACAATTTACCTGAGAATGGGTTTTGATTGTCCCTTTACACCAGGTTGAATAATGTCATGAATTAATACATGAATGTAATTATAGTTTAAATAATTATCTACAATGTTAAGTCTGAGTTCGGCTGCTTTAACTAACTCATTTTCTGGTAAAGGTTTTATATCAAATTGTAACCGGTATTTTTGAGATTTTGGATTTGATGGCATAGATCCTGTGATAAAAAATATAAATACTTTGATTAAATTTAATAAATAGCAATTGTATATTTATTATGAAACAATTTTACTTTTCAATCGAATTCATCAAAAAATTTTAATTTAAATATTACCTTTATCAATGTAAGTTCTGGCAGTATTAGCAGACGTCGTATGCAAACCCGGAAGAGGCAAATTTGTCGTTTCCCTATGTTCTCTTAGCATATTCCTATAGAGATCCATCGTGGCATATGGTATGTTTAAATGTTTGTCCACTACAGGCTTTTTACTCAATCCTAAAATAAATATTTAAACAATAACTTTATAATAAAATAAGAAATGTATTATAGATAAGAAAAAAATATTTACCTAATTTCATCAATAAATTTTTTTCCGCCAATTGAATATCATATCCCGTAATCATTGCTAATCCATTATTTAACATGGCTAATAGTAACAATAGAATAAGAATCATCGTGTCTAATAAAAAAAAAAAGTTTTTATTAAAACATTTTTAAATAAAATTTAAAATTTTAATAAATGGTAAATTTTTTGCGCTATTTATTAGGATATTTTGATGGAAATTTAATACAACTTAATATAAGAACATCTATTAGACAAATAGTCAAATAATTTATCAAAAAAAATTTTAGTTTAATTAATAATATATATTGTTAGCTTTCAAATTATATTTATAAATTTTATGTTAAGTGAAATAAAATAATTATGTTTAAGCTTAACAAATAAATCTCTGATTTTATAACCAACCCACCAAGTTACTTATTAATAGCCGAGTTATTTTTGATACCAATAAATTTTAATATTTTGTGAATTACCCTAAGAAATTTCCTTACATTTGTGTCAGAAAAAATAAGAACATCAACGTGTGTTTGTACACGAAAATAATAAGTATTTATATAGATAAAATATATTGTGTTGATCTGAATAGTTACTCACTTGAAGTAATAAGTATCCCAGTGTAAGTTTGAGAAGTATACATGTACAAATGATTATTAGACACTCGCGTATTCACACTTAACTATGGCAACTAAACTGAACAAGAGATGATAGTAAAATGACCACAAGGTCTCCGAAGGGTAGTTGATGTATTGTACACATACACGTGTGACTGAAGAAATCGGCAGACAAATAGGCGTCCGTGCTAGGTAGAGGGGTTGTATTGGTCAAAAGGGCGTGGTTTTGTATTTCTGAAAACCACATTTTTGACAATACCTTTAATAAGAAACCCGAACTGGAGGTTCTGCACAACACTACAATGTTAACATTCCAATACTATATTAACAACCCTTCTAAAAATTTAAGTCATGCATACAACATTTGTTGACTAGATAGAGTATATCTAACCCACGTGTACGCTAACGAGCAAAAAACATTAAATATAAGAGCAACGTTTGATTCAAATGCCTAGAATTACGGTGGTTAAGAAACTTATCAGTATGCACCTTATTGGCTTACAATGAGAAAAGTATAAATAAACTTTTATATAAAATAAAACGTTAAAAAACCAATATGGACTTCCATGCGTTCTATGTCATTTCTGGTAACATTGAAGCATTAGTAACACGTGTGCATCACACTTCTCATTAAGTTTGTTAGGTACTAAAATGAATTACGAGGAAAATATATATGTTATATGCAAAATAACAGATACCTAATAGGATATTAAGTGAACATTTTGATCAATTTTGTAATTTCTAAGAAAATTTAGGTATAACGTTACAAGATTGTAAGGGTGTTCCGATTTTTAAATATGAGACAGCTCGACGCCGATGTCCAGCTGCTTTCAAAGTAGGTAAAAGCAGATGTGTACTCGACAGCGGGTGGTCTTGGTCCTTCTATTTTATTTTAGTTAACAAACTCTAAATAACAACAAAGGTCAATTTGTTTTTAGGCCACTGATAAATTTTGGTGCCACGCCGTCTGCGAGTTTGGCGCGTTCGTACGGTAATCAGTTGACATCTGCAACTATCTACCTAAACCAACAAGTGACTGACGTAGGCCTCAATTTACAGGTCAACCCTTAAAATGCATTGAACTCTATAAACAAGATAAAATATTCTATAGGTAAAAAAACCCGACATTTATTAGAAAATTACAAATTAGGTACTATATAAATCACGGTAAAAAAAGAAATAATATTTCATACGTAAAAAATAACAGCTTATTATGTGATTATTATATACATTTTTAAATTAACTACAATATTGAGTACACTTTAGGTGAAATTGAAGTGTTTAAAATCAATTATGTTTTAAAAATTTAATTTTCAGTTATTCACAGTTTTATGAAATCTGAGTCTCGGAAAATACCTTAGACAAGATTATGTTTCCGGTTATTTCTTATCTATTAACATCTATCTTATCTTCTTATCTGTTAATCAAAACTCATAATATAGAATACACACGGTTAATATTGAACTAGTACTTAAAACATTTTTAAATATTTATACGAGGAGGGGTAATAGAAGTAATAGCGCCATATTGATAAATTATCATTTTCTGACGCCAATATTGGTAATTTATTACCACAAAAAATCAAAAAAGAAAATAAGTCTCACGCAATCAAAATAATGTAATGACATCTACAAGTTATTTTTTTTGGATCTGCGCTTTATGATTATAATACTAAGTTGAAGTATCCTTTCAAAACAAATGTCGGTATTAACCATAATATTTTAGTCTTCAAAATGTATATTTGCATTTTCTTCGTAAAAACTTAATTACAAATACTGTTTTAGTTGCTTATATTTCAAATTAAAATTGCATCTACATTTTTCGTATTTATTAAATCAAATTTATGAAGTTTTATTCGGCCTGATTTAACGTGTCTTGTTAACCCAAAAAGTGATTTATAATCTTTTAGACCGGATAAAACGGGAACTATAAGATTTTTTGCCCACCATTTCTTTATAACTCTGAAGGCCTATTTCAAAGAAATTATACGAAATTCGTGTCGATTACAATACATATTTTTCGTAGTTGATGGTACCACAATGTCTAAACAGGATAGATGGTTCCATTTTTTTTGTATGTATATTCAATATTTTGTTATGATTCACTAACATGTCTGTGACTACAAATTTATGTATAACTAGAATTTTTGATCATTTTTATAGTTGGACCACCGTTAGCATGCCATTTAAAACAAAAAGATAAAACATTAAAGAAATGTTTTTGTAATTTACCTATTCAGTATTTTTGACGTTCAATATATAATATAAAATATTATGTTGTTAAATAATTATTATGTTTGATAATTAAAGATACTTAGGCCAGTGATTTTAACTTTTGTACAGAAAAGGAATTTTGGAAAAAATTGCGTATTAGACTAGTAAATGTTCCAAAATCTTCTAAACACTAAAACAGGATAATATCTCTTTATACATCAGTTAATCCTATTGTAAAGAAATAAAAATGATTATAAATATTAATTGAGATGTCCAGTTACTAAAACAGAACAAATGGTTTTACATTTTGCTTTTCCTAAGCTAATTATAAGCTGATTCGCCAAGAATCATAGACCCAACTAGCGGAGATGCTGGAAGTGCTGCAGCACCCCCAACTCTCAATCAGCACTTGCAGTCCTAATTTATTAAAATTGTGAAAATAACTTTTTTTCGTTTTATGGAAAATTTTTTTTTTTGATCAGTAGTTTACAATAAATAATTTTTTTATCATACAATTTGAAACTTCTTTTCTTTGTGGTTAATTTTGATAATCAAAAATATTATAGGGCAAACCGAAAATTTATGTTAATATAATGGTTTATTAGTTAAACATTTTTTTTTTCTTATATTTGTTCAATGGCTTTGGTGAGTAATTATTGAGGAATGTTATTTGGGAGTGTGAGGTTGAACCTACATGAGTTTACAAACTCATTTATAAATTTATATTATAAAAAAGTGAAGAGTCAATATTTTTAAAATCTATGAATTAAATAAATTGTTTTACGAAATGAGTTTCAAGTGTACATTTCTATTGAGTCATTTAAATAGAGTATAAAAATGATTCTATTCATTTTTCAATTATTATTCATTATTTGAATTCGATAATATTTAAAAAAGTTAAAACATACTTTTTTTTTTAATTATATTAAAAAGTTAATGTAGCACATTTTAAATAGGTACTCATTCACTATAATTAAAAAATTGCTTAATATTTGTCACTATTTCATACATTTTTATTTAAAATTATTTTTTGTATCTAACCATTATAGTTGCATTAAATTTAAATTGTAATTGTGACTTATCTCATATTAATAATGATAAGCTGTCCACGATGATTCGACACAACCACAAAATAAATACAATCTTAACGGCTATTCTTTGATCTTAGCCGCTACCTGTTCGATCTACGTTACGATATGACATCCAAAAACATGACATTTGGCACAGGTATATTTGTAGAAGTAATTTGAGGTACTCTTCTCTATGTGTGAAAATTATGCAATACAGTTGAAAATAACAATTACAGTATTACCAAGATGTTTGAATTTCAAAATTTATTTTTTACTTACGCAATTTTCAAAATCGTACAATTCAATTGCCATGACTAATTTTAATCATGATACTTTCTTAAAATTATATGTAAACCAATATTTTTGTTGATTTATAGGTAATGATAAATAAAAATCTTCTTCTCCACAGCCCAGTGTGCTTTAGATATTCCCTACATTGTAAATTTTTAAAATTAATATGTACTAAAAGAAAAATAGTAATAATTTTATATTTTCTAAATAAAAATTATTTTTTTAATGTAGTGAAATGGAATACTTAAACTTTTATTTTAACATTGGACTTTTACTTCAATTTTCTCTAATTTTATTATAAAGCTAAGAATCCCAATTTGCTTTTTGGGTACGGCTAAAAAACAATTAAATAAAAATTAATTTTTATCAATATTTATATCCAGTTATATTAAAAAGAAAAGGTTAATGTATGTTCTAATAAATAAAAAAAATTGTTTTCTCGAATAATCATTTATTGAGATGTTTATTAAAATTCAGAGGTTGTAAACAGAATTTTAATAATTCCGTGATATATTTTCTATAATTACAATGTGCAAGCAAAATACATTTTTGTGATTGTTTATTACTTTAATTCAATATTTAACTAACAATGTGAAGTTAATCTACATTCCAAAATCGAAATCATATTAAAATGTTTTATTTTCCTCAATTAATATCCAGAAAAAAGTTCTTTTAACATTTTTCGTCAATGAAATATCATGAAATCTCAATTTACAAGATTTTTGAATTTAAGTGTTAAAAAATGTTACATAATAATATGTATATAATCATGAAGTCGTTGAAAAAATATTTGAAACGTCTTTATAATAGCCATTGCAATTATGGGTTTTTTTTATCGGGGTACATTTAAAAATTCTTTGATTGAACACTAACGACGGAAACTTCTGTTTTATTAACTTGCTACATAATCTTTCTCATATCTATATTTCGATATCCTAACAGTACTCTTATATTAAAAAAAAAATTAATCCAATAAAAGAATATCTCATAAAAACACTTTTTAATTTAATGAGATTACCAGTAAGTATAGAACAAAACTAGACATAATGAAAAATATATACAAGTATATTTCGATTTAAATACTATAATATAAAAAAATTAGTAGATGTACAGAATGTAATAGATCTTATTTGATAACTCGAACTCTAATTTTTGAGACAATTAAAATACACTAATTTTTTTTAAAGAATTTTTGTATTCATAGACTATTTTAATCCATATTTTTATTTATTTTTTATAATAAAAAAGTACTCTTAAAATGTTGCTAAGTAATCTTTTTAAAAGAAATATTAATGGGTAGATAACAATTTTAGAACCAATTATCAAGTTCTTAATATTTTAATACATAGAGTGGGAATGTGATGCAAATGGAGTATGCGTTATATACACCATGATAAGCTATAACCACCCTCACTAGATACATATTTGTATTAAAATGCTTGTAACTCAATAATTATTTATACGTAAGTTGTAATCGAGCAACTTTATATATATTACAACCAATATAGTTGATTTGGGAATGTAGGAAAAAAATACATCTGGAATATTTAATTTACTTAGTTCAATGAATAGTTGAAAAAAAAAAGCAAAAATGTATAATTGCCAATAATATAAAGTGAATTTAAAATTTACACGAATACGAAATGAGTTATTTGTGAAAATTTCTTTTAAACATAGATAATAATTTATTTAAAGGGTAAATAAAATAACTAAACTTCTATTTTATTTAAAATGTGTCATATATTATTCATACAGATTTGAACATATAGTTAAAAGAAATTATTTAGGTACAGTTGCAGAGCACTTTCCACAATAATGCCTATTTGACATATCAGCCATAAATACACCAGGACCACAGTTTTCTGATGTGCATTCTTTCTTTAAACGGATAACTTTTCCGTTTTCATCTACCTATAAATAAAAATTTTAGATAAAAAGAAAATAACATAGAAATTAATTTATAAATTACTTTATAAAATTTCAATACAGCAAGCTTGACCTTCCTTTTCTTATGCTTGATTTTTTTTGGAGTCGAATAATTCTTCTTCTTACGTTTCTTGGCACCACCTCTTAATCTAAGAACCAAGTGAAGGGTAGATTCTTTTTGAATATTATAATCAGATAATGTGCGTCCATCTTCAAGTTGTTTTCCAGCAAATATTAATCTTTGTTGATCAGGTGGGATTCCTAGAATAGAGAGATTCAAAATATTAAAATTTTGTGAAGGAATAACTATTTTTGCTCAAATAAATTATTAGGCAAAAATTTAAACTCTAGTACACCTATAAGTATCTTATGAAAATTAAAATGGATGATATAATGGTTTTAAAACAACAAAGTGTAACATATCAATGAAATTGTTTAATTTATTAAAATATTGGTAACTTTTTTTACATAATGAAAATACTTTAAATTAATCAAAAAAATCTTGAAAATTATTGTAATACTTAAATATGTGGTTAGAGTTAATAAATGTAACATTCAAGGATGGAAAAACCAAAAATTGTGTGTACATGAAGATATCTAGAAAAAAGGGAGTTTTACATGGTGATTGATTAAGGATAATATACTCATTTTATTAAAGAATTGAAAGTTGTTAATTTTCGTAAAGGAAAATATTGTTTGATTCTATAATAATATATGTTTAAAAAGTTTTTTTTTCATTCTTTCCAAAATAATTAACCTAAACATAAATTTATTTATGGTAACCACTCATCTTAACTAGATGATATGATATAATAAAATTTTTGTACTTATAGTATTTTTTATTCAATAAGCCAATCCTCAGTTATTTTTTGTTAAACTTTAGTATTTTTTGGTTAATTTTTTATTGATAATTTGCTGTTTAACATAAAGTAATCATCATATCTATATCATATCACATAAACAAGTTTTTATTGACAATTTTTGTTATTATTACAGCCAATTTTGATAATAAGAACAAATATTAATGATAATTTATCAATAAACTTCAGTGAAATAGATTATTGTTGCCTTTGGTACAAGGAAAACCAAGTTAATGATGAATTTCTATTTTAAATTGTAATCTTTAAACAATTTTAACATAATGGTTGATGGGATAATGAATATTATAAGAACTACATTTTTTTTCTGTTATATTATCAAACTAAAAACCCAGCACAGGGGGGTCGCGGCACAGTGGTGCCGTGGTATAGTTGGATCAAGTATAATGATATCTGACAGTGATTAAAATCACTATCAAAAATAAACACTTCGATGCAAATCTTTAGATAGTGTTTAATTTTAAAAAATTGGTGGATTATTCTAAAAGCTACATGATCTGCTAGTTCCTTAGTAATATCCTGATTAAGATAAAGTATGTCGAATGAAAAAGGGTTTATTAAAAAATTTTATTTCTCATAAAAAAATTGTGTTGATCCATACACTTTTCAATATGTTATAATATTATAAAGTTAAAAATGTAAAATACAAAATCGAGAATTTTCACACAAAAATAGCATTTGGTAGCCATTTTCACCGTGAAGATAAGTCTAGAGGTCAAATTTTTTTTTTTTTAATTAAAGTATATTACATAAGCTTTAATTTAAGATATATATAAAAGTGTCAGACCTTCCGGGACATTTTCAAAAGTTAAGTTGAAAAAGTTAATTTTTTGTGAAATAGTTGTCTTTTTAAATACCCCCTGTGGGCAGATAAAGGGTCAAATTTACAAAAAAAAATATATCAAATGATAGGTAAGGACATCAAGCATCTATATAAACAAAAATTATATTGATATGTTCATTTTTGAAAAAGTTACAGCACATTTTAGTAAAAAAAATTGAAAAATTTTCGAAAATTAGCGATTTTTAAATTTGTAATTTTTTTGGAGGTTTCCCCCATTTACGGGGAATGGGGGAATTTTTTTCAATTTTTAAGGGCAATGTCTTCGACTAGATACGATTTGTGATCTTTTGACGTATCGTTGAAAGAAATCCGTTCGGTGAGAGCTGAGAAAAAGTGGTAACAGACACAAAAAAAAAAA